AGACTTAAGAGGGCAGGCCAAGACTATCCGTCTCTCCCACTCTGTCTCTTGTTACTCAGGGCTGTGAATGGCTCTACTTAGCAGTGTCAAAGGGCTCCTATCTGCACCTTTATCACAGCATCTCTCTCCTCCTGTTTACAAGTCTCTACAGACCTCAAGACAAAGGCTCTGCTCAGGAGCAAAGGACTCTGGTCATCACTGTATTCTTGGTGCCTAGTTCAGTATCAGGATAATCATTCGCGAATGTCTGGAATAAATGATCAGAATGAAAATTCTAACCGTATGTCTAAACTAGCCTACTCCATCATAATTTTAAGAAATTAGTTTAGCACATTCTAGCCTGTTTCCTTGTAACACAGAAACTTAAAGACCATTACATCACTTGTGTAGCTAGCATGGTACTGTTGTACTGGCTCCAGGGAAAAATGGAAATAACAGGCCCATGAAAGGGGCAAGTCTACCATGGTACCACCAATCTGGTTAGTATCCAGGAAAGAGAAATTATGACAATATGCCAATGGCACATGAGACTCAGTATTAAGGTCCTCAAATGAACTGACATCCTAAAATAAGCACTTTGCAGTGGACAGCAATTGAGTTCCAAAGAGTGCCCTTCATATTAGAAAATGGGCAGCAGTAAGGAGAGAGAGGGAAGCACAGGGAAGGACCATAGTCACAACGAGCTGATGTACTTTCGCTGTTTTGTCTATCTGAGACAGGGTCTCACTATGCAGTTCAGGCTGGCCTTGAGCTCACTGTGTAGCCCAGGCTGGTCTGGAACTCCCAGCAATCCTCCTACCTCAGCCTCCTGAGTGCTGGGATTACAGGTACAAGCCACCACACCTGGCTTTTTTTTATCTTTTTGAGACAGGGTCTCGCTCTGCAGTTCGGGCTGGCCTTGAGCTCACTCTGTAGCCCAGGCTGGTCTCAAACTCGAATCAATCCTTCTGCCTCAGCCTCCTGAGTACTGGGATTATAGGCATGAGCCACTATGCCCAGCTTGATATACTTTCCTAAAGATGCTAAGTTGATTTTTATTTTTATGGTGCTGGGAATGGAACCCAGGAGGCTCACACATGCCAGGCAAGTGCTCCAGTACTGAGCCATATACACCCCTGGCCAAGATTCTGGGTGTAAGTTCCAGTCTCATCTTTGAAGCAGAGGCCCTGTGGCAGTAGTGGTGAACCTATAGCATGTGTGCCACAGCCTGCTGGCTGTCATTATTGAAAGCTCTAAAAGGTTCAGCATCACTGGCCTATGGCACTGCCAGTCCAGACTGTGTCCAAAGCCAGCTTTACAGCAGCCCACTGTGGCCAGTGGGACAGCCCAAGATGGCTCAGCCTGTGATCCCTGAAAAGATGTTCAATATCTCGTGATCAATGGAAACAAACCCACATCCTGATGAAAGGCTCTTGAAACAGGTTCCAAAGCTTTTCTTGTCCCTTTTAAAGATACAAACTCTCATAATCAGCACTCCTTCAACTGGCTAGAGAGAAACTAAAATTGTCTTCAGCAGTGCCCAAAATTATCACCTGATACTCATGCCTATCAGCTATATTTCTGCTTTTAGCTGTGAGAAGGTCTCTGAGACTGGCCTGGAAAAGAATTGATAGCCTCTAAACACTGAGACGCTCTAGGTGAGAAGACAGACACTGAAAACACAGGCCAACGGGTAAGAGTGTAATCACGGGGTTGGGTGTATCCTCTGCCATGAAAGACACAGCAGAATGAGCAGCAGATGGGCAGCCACTGGACTCCATAAAGCACTGTCCATGCACTGATTCCAAAAGATGTCGTCAGACCACCTCTCCTGCAAATGCACCAACAGATAAAGCCAAGTTTTGGGGGATGGAGCCAGGAATCAAGCCACCACACTCACAGCCCTAAGATGATGTCTCACTAGCACACCTAAGGGAGAACTAATTGGCTTTCAGGTTAGGAGTTGAAAATTTAGCTTGACACAAACCCTACCTTGGGTCGTTTATGTGTTTGTTACTATAGTGAAGCACTCCCAGGGTGTCATGGGACTGTAGTGACTTCACATCCCATTCATGCAGGCTGAAGGAAAAGCAATGCCAAATTTAGCCAAGTGCTTGCAGACTTAACAATGCTCCTAAAGAGCTGGCAAGCAACATGTCACCTCCCCCTGGCCTCCTCTGATAGACTAGAGCCCAGTCTTCCATAACTGACCCATCCTTCCCAACCCTACAAAATGCACAGGCTTGAAAGAGAGACTATTAGCCAAGAAAAGCAATCCTAATCCACTCAATCCAATTTCTCTACCATTTTCTGGAATCTCAATCAACAATAATCCTGTTTGTTGGTCCTGAAATGCTTTTAAATAACCAGTTTCATATATTTTAACATACTTGCTCTGCACAGAAGAGTAAGTAGGATTTCCCCCATTTTACTTATGTTTTTTTGACATAGAGCCTCACTGTATAGTTCATGCTGGCCTTGAACTATGAATATGCAGCCCAGGATGGTCTTGAACTCATGGTGACCCTCCTCCCTCAGTATTCCTGCAGGTTGGGATTACAGGTGTGCACCAACTAGCCCAGCTTCCCGCCCACTTTAATAATTCTTTAGATGGGGAAACTGAGGTTCAGAAAGGTTAAGACCAAAGACAGCAAGAACAGTGGCAGAAATGAAGCTCAATTTAAGCTCTGTTTTCAAGATTGATGCTAGTTTGTTTGTTTGAGACAAAGTCTCACTATGTGGTGCTGGCTGGCCTCAAACTTGTGGGCGATCCTATCCGAGCTCCTGAGTGCTGGGATTACAGCTGTGTATCACCATGCTTGGCATGATGCTTATTCATTTAGATCCAGCTTAGTTTTCTGAGGCTGTGGTCATCACAAAGGGATGAACACATCTTGGCAGTGCAGGTAAGAGACCTGGTTTAGAAGTTGCACCAAACTTTCTGTTCTCTTATGAAACAGACCAACCAATCCATTAAATTCTCTGACTGTGGCTTGACTGGACTGTGTGTACCAAGAACACCAAGCAGTGAGCTCGAGGATCCTCCTTGTCATTGACAACATCAATCACTCTAATGGAAGGATAAAATTCGAAGGTTCAACTCAGAACTGTCATGCTGAGCAGAGATGTTAAGACCGTGAGGGACGGACTAGTTCCAGAGCCGTTCACCAAGCCCACATACACAAGGAACTGCGTAAGACACCTGGGCATCGGACCATCTAACATCTATGACATATTCCCCACAATGCCATTCAAGGTGACCTGCATATGTTGCCACTTCCCTGTCCAGGTTTTGTCTTTTGTGTGAGGTCAAAGTGAAAATTAAGAGACCAACAGGTGGATCTGATCAATTGTTCCTGTTCACTCACATTTCGCTGGGTGGAGGCCAGAAGCCTGCTAATAGATGGACCAGCCCCGCAGCATTCTGGTAGGCCCTCCTCCCCCTCCTAGGAAGAAAACTAACTTGTGAACACATGAAAAACACACCTCCTTTTCTCTTTGCTTCTTCAACGCGTTCTTCCATTTTCCCAAAAGATCCAGCCCTTGAGCTCTGACAGCCCAACAGAGATAACCCTTTCCAAGAGGAGGGTGAGGTTTACATCTGCAGGTGCCCAGCATGCTTCCTGAAAGCATTTGGGGCCCAAGTAAATTCCGTCCAGCAAATATGCTAGTTTGAAATGATATGTACATCCAACCCAGAGACTTAAAAGTTCATCATTTTAAGTATAAACTGAAATAAAATGACTCAAATTTAGATACAACTTTCCAGGGATAGGGAGTATAGCTCAGAGGTCCAAAGCTTACTTAGTAGGCACAGGGCCTTGGATTCCCTCCTAACACACACGCACACATATACAAAAGTATAATAAAATGATATGGCAAAGAAGAAGAGGGGAAGCCAACAGATTTCTAAGCAGTTACACCACATCCCAGAGAATAATCAGGGTACCTGGAAGAAAAGAGGAAAGACCGTTTTAGACTTAAGCTTAATAAAACAGACTTGGGCTTGATTTTATTTGAGGTGACCAAAGAGAGTTGGGTTTTGCCGTGTTTGTTGAGGAAAACCAAGACCCACTAAAGCTGAGTTCTGGTTTCCTAGGCCCTGCCTGGTGGTGGTAATCTTGTAGTTATTTTAATCTTTTAAATATTTTAATGTTAAGCAGTAACTGTCACAGGAAGAACCCAGGGGCCCTGCCCATTTAGCTAGGTTCTCCATTCTCAGGCAATGGGCACTGACTGAAGCATAGTGGCATTAAGACAAAAGGTACAGGACAGTCCAAAGATGGCAGGTGGCTGCTTCAGAATCTCAGAGAAGGTGCAGCCCTGGGAATAAAAGCTGTGAATGAAAGCGGTGAATTCTTCCACTGACACAAACACTTGATGTAAAAATAATCACTACAGACCAACAATCCCAGGCCAGGACCTAGGAGACATCAGGCTATACTTCCGAGAGGTCTTAGTGACACAGTGGCAGTAATTTGGTATTTAATGGCATCACCCAATAGGAAATCTAACAAGTCAATTGAAGGCCGTTTCACTCAATTAAGACACAATCACAATAAGATGAGTAAGTACAGAAGAAAGCAGAAGTAAAGGAAACACAAGAGGCCAACAGAAATTCTGGCTCCACCTGTAAAGGTGCTTTAAGTAATAAAGCTCGCGTGGTCCCAATAGTCTACAGCAAAACTAATGTGGGGCCGTGCATTCCCTTTTTGCTGAAGAGTTTCCCCAAACTTATCTTTTATACCAATAAATGACCTCTGTGAGGGGTACAAGCTCTCTTCGTGTCTGGAGCATAGTCAGGGTGCATCTGTGATAAGCTTGTTACGGGGAGGAAAAGGCTGTCAATAGCAAGGCTGTGTTTAGCAGCATGACTTAAGGTTGGATTTGGCAGTGACTCATATACATTCAGAAAACATTTATGAACTGCTTGGGCAAAGCCAGGTGGAAGCTGGCCCACAGGAAGTAAAAGGGTGATGGTGTGCCCAGGCTGGCAGAACCCGGAAGTAATTGAAGGAAAGGCCTGTAGCCAGGAGGCCGCCTCCCTCCCCAGGCATGTGGAAGGTACTCATGTGCCAGCCTCCTTCTCTGGGAGGAGACAAGAAGCAACTGTAAAGAGGCAGCAGCCAAGACATCGAGCACCCTGGGCAGCGAGAGAGCCATACCGTGGTCCCGTGAGCCGGCCTAGACTGGAGTACTGTGATCCATCTGCTTGTTGGCACTTGCTGAGTGCTTGGCTGAGTGTGAGGTGCAGGTAAGGACAAGTTTTGTTATCTCAATGAGGTTTTAGAACTCGGTGGAAGGGACAGAACTCAAAAAGGATTCTTCTGCAATTTCTCCCTGGCAATTATGTCTGAGAGAAGGCGTCTCACCTGGGTGTATTTCTTTCATTTGTACATCAGCAGGGACACCTGTGGGCCCTGGGCCCTGAATAGCATCATCCTACCCTGTATTTCAGTGTGGAAATAGAAATCGGCCCATTTGCATTGTTTGTTTTTCCATGCCTGCATAGGAAAAACAAAGCATTGCCTCCTAGAAAGCCGCCTTAATTAGGGAAACTGCCAGGAGATTTGCGAGCAAAAGAGAGAATAGATTTTAAGAAGTTTCAGAAAGGAACTGAGTCCCACAGGGAATTTTCTGGCATCTCCCGGAGGGGTGGCACAGAGTCACATCAGTGTCACGTGTTTCCACACACTGTCATGATGATGATGGTCCTCCTCCCCTCTATGACTGGGAAATATGAAAGTAACGGGAGAAAAGGCTGAGTTTGAAAATCTCATGTGTATGCAGCCACCCTTGTCACTGACTCTTGGCTCATTTATTAGTTGTTGTTAATTCACTTTTTGTTTTGGAGACAAGGTCTTTGTAACATAGGCTGGCCTTGAGCTCACTATACAGTCCAGGTTGATCTTGAACTCACAGTAATCCTTCTGCCTCAGTCTTCTGAGTGCTAGGATACAGGATGGTTACCGTGCCTGGCTAGTTGTTGTTGACTAATTCCTCAATCCCAATTCATTCTCTTTATTTTTATGGTCTGGGGAATCAAACCCAAGGGGCTCTACCCCTGAGGAATATCCTGTCCTTTTACTTTTTTATTTTGAGATAGAGTCTTGCTAAGTTGCTGCTGGTGGCCTTGAACTCGCCATCCTCCTGACTCAGCTTTTCAAGCAGCATGGATTATAGGCATGTGCCACCAGGCCTGGTCTCCCTGTTTGCAGGTAACCTGGACATTGGCTACTTCAGAGAAAGGGAAGCAAAACTACAGACACAGAGGTGGGGCAGAAATGAGCACCAAGAGAGACCACTCAAACTCTGCTAGATGAGTTCTCGCCAGCATGTTTCTTAAAATGAAGCAGTGAGTGGCATGGTGGCCAGACCCTCCTTGGCAGGGAGCATGGTTATCTAAGATGCCAGAGCTGTCCCAGGACTTTGAGGCTTCACTCTATGGGGAAGCCTGATGCTCCCAAATTCCCAGGCCAGTGAGGCTGATTCAATCCCAGAAAACCCAAACTTCCCAGAGCCCAGTGGGGCAGGCTCAGTGCTAAGTGCTCTGCCCCAAGATGTCCTGTTTTGGCCCAATTTGGCTCTGAAGCTGGGCCTTACCAGCTGCAGTTGGCATGCTGATGCAGCAGAAACCGCCAGTCCTAAGATCATAGCAGCGTGTGAGAGAAGGGGCAGTCTGTTTCTTAATCTATTAAGTCTCCGAATTACCAATGAGTTCTGGCAAAGCGACTCACACAGTACACCTGTGAGTCTGTAAGTGCGGTGCTGGGAAGCCAGGGCTTCAGTGTACGGGGTTATCCCTGTAGGCCTGGGAGTGGCCAAACAGAACCAGGTACCCTCACTCACTGCCCATTCCCAGCTTAGACTGCAAAGGGAGACACCAGCGGGGAGGAAGAGCAGTGTGACTGTCCAGAGGCACTGCGGCAGGGGCGGAGGTGGGGGCAGACCTGACTGTTCTCAGTTCCCTTCGGGGGCCTGCTGCGGCAGAGACAGAGGCGCTCACCTGGCTCTACGTCCTCATGCAGGTGCAGGCTGCGTGGAAGCTCTCTCCTCCCACTCTGCGCAGTCTCTCAGGCTGACTGAGCAGGGGACACGCAGGCGTGGCTGCACCTTTCTTACTCGTTTATTTGCAGCTGCCGCAAAGCGGAACATCTTGCACTGTGCCAAAGCCCTAAACAGAGAGGGCCCTTGCATGGTGGGAATGCGTACAGTAGACACAGACAGCTCAGTCCCCCTGGGCGTCGCAGCCCTCTCCCTCTCTTCCTGACCCTATGGCCGATGCCAGAGTCCTGAGGCACTGCAGCTTCTGAGCCCATGCCCAGGGTCTGCTTGCACTTCCCCCTTCCCCACCCTCCAGTCAGGAAAAAGGGAAGGAAAAGAAAAACTCAGAAACCTGAAGATTGTTTGGAATTTATTCTCTTAAATAAGAATGTAACATTTGTCAAAAGAAAAATTTAAAAAGCACAACACCTTGGTTTCACAGCGACAGCAAAAACAAAGTTACACAATTAAATAAAAACTCACAAAGAAACACACCAAAAACTCACAACAGCACAGGTTAAAAACAAGGGCAAAAACAAAGGCTTTAGGGAAGGTTAGAGTGGACAGGTAATATGATTTTTGGCACAGCTAATCCTCCATTGCTCTGGCTTCTTTGTACTGTTGCCACGGAATCTGGTGGCTGCCTTTTCCTGCCCCTACCCTAAGTGAGGATATTCCTTTCTGGGAAGGCCTAAGAATGTACCGTCCTGTAGGGAGCACCCAAAGACAGCAAACAGCACGTGACAGCAGACAGCTGCAAGTACCTGGCAGGTGCAACACAGGAGTCCAAGAACAAACTCGAGGGAAGGCGGGGATCTGGTTCTCTGGTGACCCTGCCAGCAGCAAACTCCTGCCTTTCCACTTTGCTCTTGAACCAATTATTGGACCTTGCAGGACTGTACTGCTCTGGGACACCCACTCCCCAAACGTCTCTACCCCATCCTGTGTGCTGTTACTGGGCTGCTGAGGTTCCTCAAAACCCTGAGCCAGCTCAAAGGCAAGTTCTCAGCATCAAAGCTCTTTCCATGTCCAAAAGGATGGAATGAGATTTTAGAAACAGCTTTTTTATTATTACTTAGGGTATACTGTATAAATAAATACCTTTATCAGTGAAGTGAGCCCTATATACACATATATAACATTTACACATTACCATCGACTCCCCTGTGACTCTGTGATAGGGTTTGGGGAGGGAGGTAGGCTAGATTGCAGAATTCTTTCTGCTTTGTTTTCCAGAAACGCCTAAGAGGGAAGAGAACTTGGGAGGCAGTGAGATTTCCTAACTTCCCTCTGTTAGGTAAGAACCCCAGGGCTGAAGGAAATTCCTGCACTGCTTGGCTGACTTCTGGCCTGTGTGGGCAATACCCGTGTTTTCCAGTTGCCAGTTCAGGATCAAACTATGGAAGCCAATGCTTACACACAAGGGGTGTCTGGGGACAGAGACCAGGTACTGCCACTTGCGATTTGGCAGCTTCTTGACCTAGGCCACCTTTCCTACAAGATGACAGTTCATGTGCTCTGTGCCAGCATGCAGATGGTCGAAGATTCCTGGCTGACAAACTCTGAGAAAAGCTCTGTTCCCTTTCTATAGCACACCCCTAGTCCTTCCACTTCAATTTTTGTTGTTTACACAGGAGATAAAAAGGGAATTCCCGTAGACAAGAAACGAACACCTGCAAGTGAAGGCCTCGTGTCCACAGGGAAAGGAATCCCATGTGGGTGTTTTCTCTGCCAGCTGCCATCCACTCAAGTCAGGGCACAAACTATGAGGCCAGGGTAAGGGAATCTGTGCCAGGTCCACTGACCCACAGTGGGTGTGTGGAACTCAGGACACAGCATTTACAAGCTTGAGAACAGAAACGACGATTTCGCTATTAAAAGCACATTATAAACAAAAATACTGTAAACAATGTCCCCAGCCCACAAGATTAGGCAGCAGTTACATATTAGGTTACCAGAAAAAGACAACACTTTAAACCAGGCCTGCAGTAGGTTTTTTAAACTTGTGGGTTATAGCGGTTTTGGTTGGGGTGGTGGTTTGTATTTTTTGACCAACAACAGTCATTTTGGTACAAGCAGAAAGAACGTAAGGGAAATTAGAGATGCCGTAAGAGGAGCCACAGAGCAGAAGCATGGCGACTTGGTGCTAGGGAGAACAGTTCAGTCACACATGACAGTTTCACTCATCCCCAGCCTTTCGAGTCTAGGGTGCAGTGGAGGAGACAGACAGGGGTCTGGGCTAACGTCTGCTCCCTGTCACATAGTCTGAAGTCCTCATGCACTTGAGGTTCTCTGAAGACTTTCCAAAAGAAATTCTAGTTAACAAATACTTTGGTCTGGGATTTTTTAAAAAAAGAAATCTCTATAAAGTGAAAAAAGAAATGTATGTCATGACAACTACACACCACCACATTGTCGCTTTCCTGCAGAAGCTTGCATGGGTCAGTTCCCAGAGGACGTGCCAGGGCTCTGAGCTGCAACTTCCAAAAGCCTGTGTCTTCTGAGCAACAAAGAACCCTGGCATCCCTGAGCTGTCAGAACTTCCTGATGTCTAGAGGGCACCGTGCACTGGGGGAAAGGGCCTGCCTGGCTCACCTTAAGGGTTCAGCCTGGGGTTCCTTCGGGACAACACTTGGTGAGCTGCTGGAGCTATAACAGGCAAGGGGCGCTCTAGTGCATAATCAAGTACTACAAGGACTAAAGAGTCCTCAGGATACTGGCTCTTTCTTGTTTTGACTCTGCAGTCACACTGCCCACCTCATCTTCTTTCTCAGCTTTGTGGAACATTTTTCTTTATTTCTATTGAACCCCAAATCCTTCAGAACTCCCCAAAACCTCAAGTTCATTACGCCTTTCAATCAGAATCAGAAAGGCAATCTGAACCTGACGGGAAAGTGAGCAAGACCAGAAAAGAATTGAATTTCACTGCATTGATCTCTTTTAAAACAATATTCTGTGTATCTTACTCATAAAGTTTCATTTCTTTGTGTTGTTTGACTGAGTAGTCAGATTCCTTAGAAAACCCATCTGTGCTGCAGGGAGGCCTGGACCGATAGGGTCGTGTTCTCAGCCGATCAAACACACGCTCCACAGTGAGAAGCTAAAGCTGTACCTAGATCCCTACAATTTTCTCCAACAGAGATGCCCCCAATCTTGCTGTGAGAACGTCAACTGCAGAGCGTGGTCAGCACCTCCTGAGAAACATCATGAAGGGCCTGCTGACTGAGCTAGTCCCTCGTGGCGTAAGCATGGCTGTCAACTATGGGTCCCACTTTCAGGGTACTCAAGGAACCCTGGGAATGGGGATATACACGTAGGAGCAGAAGCTGAGCTGATCCTGCTTGGCCAGATTTCAGGCTCCAGGGCACTGCCCCTAGGATTGACACCAAATGATTTTGGTCTCCCCTCCCAGAGTCAGCACCCTATGCCTCGATTTCCTTAGCATAAGAAAAGAAGTGATTCTGGGGACCATTTGTGTGAAGCCCGAGAGAGTAATTCTTCCCTTTTCCATCATGAAAATTCTACTACCAACTTCTTCTCCATGGATTCTAGTATTGGTTGATAATTTTACATGTGTTTAGAAATGGCTGTGTGAGGTATGCTTGCTATGGACAAGAGGAAACGTGAGACGAACACAAACGTGGCCTCACAAACTTCCTCTCAGCTGCATGGCAACCCTGAGCTGTGGGTACCTGGGGCTACACTCTGGACCCAGGGGTCTGCACAACTGTGGACTCACTTCAGAGGCGTGTTTACAGGGGGCCAATGTAAACACCGTTCTCTAGAGGCTTGAGGCTCCTGCACCATCCCTGGCCTGCCTTGCGTGTTCTGAAGGTGTGACGGTGCCATAGGAAGTGGAAATGACCCTGGGACAGAGCTTGACCCTCACTGGAAACATAAATGCCCCAAAGAGGTCAGGACAGAGCACGTCCTTACTCATCCAGACGCCTGGCTAGGGAATGGGATGCAAACATGTCCAATTCTGCTGAACACAACTCTTATGCTCTGCCATAAAAATCCTGAACCAGACCCATGAGGAAGCCTGATTCCTCTGCGCTCTCATCTGGGTCAGTGCCCAGTTTCTCCGCATTCCTGTCTAACTAACAGGTCTACACCAGGCACCCAGCAAGTCTGCGGGAGGTGGGAACGGGCTACAGTGACCACACCCTGGTACACGTTTTCTGCACTCTGGTGACCCCGCTTACCCAAAGGCCCCCTTACTGGCTTACAGTCTGCCAGTGAAACTCCCCCCCGATCTGCACCAGCACCTCCGACAGGCCATAGAGAAAAGGAACCCCGAATGCAAGCAGCTGGCACATGAAAAAGGAGTCCAAAGGGTTCTGAACCACTTGATGCCCAATTGATGAAATGTTGCTTTGAAGGTGCTGGCTCATCCCCTTAGCCTTGTCACAGAGGCCGAGAGAGTGACGCACCACCCAGTCAAACAAGGAAGTGAGGCTACCTGAAGTTCTCTCGGCTGAGTTGGCAACGGTGCTGGCCCGTCCGTTTGCGTCTGCAGCAGGGCCATCCTGCAGGGGTCCTTTGGCTTCCTAGGAAAGTTCCAAAACAGAATGGTGACTGACTGAGCCCTCAATCTAACTGGCTAGTCTGTCCCTGTCACTCAGGGCTGCATTCCTTGTAAAGTAAGTCTTTCTTTAAAGGAACAGGGACACACATCCCATGGAAGTCACTAGAAGTCAAAATCTAGATCCCCCAAGTGTAGAGGTGGCCCTCTATCTGTGGGATTGGTCCCAGGATCCCTGTGGGTAACATAATCTGTGGGTGCTCCAGCCTTCTTTTTTGGTACCAGGAATTGAACTGAGGTCCTTGCATTTGCTAGGCAGGCGCAGGTGATGCACCACTGAGCTACATCCCTGACCCTTGAGTCTTTTATATAAAACAGCACTGCATTTGCACAAAACCCAGGTATATCCTCTATATCCTCGAATCAACTCTGGACATAACTGCTGATGAAATCTGCAGCTATGGAGCCCAGCACAGGAGGCTGATGGTACACCTTTGCCCGCAGCCTGTGTGCTGCCCACAGAACCTGACAAGGCACTGTCCCTGCAGCAAAGGGATTATTCAGGTCACTCTAACAAGCAGGATCAGAGAAGCCATTCTTATTGCAAAACAAAAGTAACAAAGAAAGGTCTGAGAAAAGTAACTTGCAGGATGAAGGAACTGAAGCCCGGCAGAGGTAGCACACAGGCTTGCATGGCAAGCTCCTTCTGGACAGTTGGTGGAGCTGTCTGTGTCTCCTAAGTGCCTATGGCTGCCTGAAGTGTGCTGCAGAAATGAAAGGGACTCCTGTCTCTGTTCCTGCACAGCCACTCTTGAGGACAGCTCTAACCATAAGAAAAAAGACCCAGCAGCAGATTACCCTCCTCTAAGAAAAAGGCTTGTTTACAGAGGCAGCACCTTCCTCCTAAACTGAGCAGAAAGGGGGATCAGCATAATCCCCCAGTCGCCCAGGTGGTTAAGGAAGCCAGGCTACATCTGTGCTTGGAAAACAAGTTCCCTCCCCAGACAGACCGAAATGGCATCTCAGGCCCTGCTAGGACAGAAGGGCCTCACACTGCTGGGCCAGCCCTGACCTGCAACCATACCAGTGTGGACGGCCATACCTTTCCAGACAGAGGAGCCACTGCTGGCCTCTTCCTTTGTGCGTAGCCAGAGAGCCGGTAACAGTAGTGTGGTTTACAGTAGAATTTACCTACAGAAGCAAGAACAGGGGGAAAAGGGTGAGTAAGATTCTTTATTCTGAACCTGACTCGCTGTCTCAGCACACTGCTGTCTACCTCCTCCAGCCACAGGCAGTTCCTCACTACCACACCAGCCTTCACCAGGCCCTTCCTGTCAGGGAGGCCGGTCTCCCCCTCCAAACTCTGATTCCAGACCTCCTCGCCCTGAAAGTGGGGGGTGGGGAGTCCCCTTTCCCTCTGAGTATGTGAAGGCCATTGAGCCACTATCCAATCAGTGCCCGGGGCAAAGATGTGAGGCGTGCATGTCAGGGCCAGCAAACAAAGTGGCAGTGTGTGGAGAACAAAGATGTGGTCACATGAGAGCTGGGAGTAGCGATGCAGGGGAAAGCAGGAAGGAATACAAGTGGGTGGAGGCCAGAAGGCTGCAGGGCCTGGGGGTGGGGGCACTGAGCCTCAACTCTGCCGGAGTCACTTGTGCTGCTCCCTAAGACTCCTGCCTTCTCCACCACCTGTTAGCCGGGTGCGCCCACAGCAGGTTCCAGCCCTCGAGTGGTCAGACCAGCGTTACAAAACAAAAACCCTGCAGTGGACTGATAACCCCAGAGTGTGCTATGACATAAAGTAATTCTATGTCCTAATGAAATAATTTCCCACTGAGGGTGTGGTCAAAAAGGCTTGAGAAACACTGATCTTAGCTTGTCCAATGTCATGCTTGTTAGGATTAACTCAGAGCTATTTTCTTCTGATTGTTTACTCTCACTTAGAGGTAAGGCTTCTGAACAATAAACGGCAGGCCCTATTACAGATAGTGTTGGGGCTGGGCACCGTGGAGCATGCCTATGATCCCAGCACTGGGGAGGCTGAGTCAGAAAGATCACCACAAGTTAGAGGCCAGCCTGGGCTACAGAGTGAGTTCAAGGCCAGCCTGAACTGCAGAGCAAAACCCTTCTCAAAAAGACAAAGACACACACACACACACACACACACACACACACACACACACACACGGGTGGAACACGAATCATTCTTTTTGAACCTCTGATTTTGTAGGAAATGGTCCTTCATCAAAAAAGCTTTTCTAATGTCACAGTTAAGTAAGAAGATGCGTAAGTTAAAAGAAAGGGAAGTTGGCACTCTTTCTTTTCCCTTTTCCCTAGTGATCTGAGCCTAGATTTTCTTTTTTCAAAGTAGCTGACTTGTTTTTTCTCTTTTATCTGTTTTTTCCCATTGATGCTGAATGAACCTTTTATGGAACTTCAAGGATTGCAAGTAATAATCACACCACAGTGTATGCAGAATTTTCACCAGCCCTTTGCACTTAACCAGGACTTGGAAACACTGCCTTTTTTTTTTTTAAGTCAGGGTCTCGCTGTGCAGTTCAGGCTGACCTTGAGCTCACTTATAGCCCAGGCTGGTCTCGCACTCGCAATGATCCTCCTGCCTCAGGCTCCCGAGTGCTGGGATCACAGGCATGACCCACCACGCCTTACACGGAAACACTCTGCTTTAACCAGGACTTGGAAACTCTGCTGCTGGGAATTCCCGACACCCAGGGACACCATCTCACTGCCTACTGGGGAAGGCGAGCCTCTTAGTTTTAGCTCCTCTCAATTTCCTTTACCATTCATGACAAGCCACTTTACTCTTGTCAATTTTGACTATCAAGATCAAATGTGCTATTAGTTGGAGGCTGCACTTACTTTAAGGTCTGCTTTATCTCCTACTGCAGGAAATACCCTTCCTCCTTCCTTGATGTGGTGGTGGGCCTGTGCCTATCGCCCATGCCTGACATTCTCTGCCACCAGGCTGTCAATCAGAAACCCCTGTCCTCCATGCCAGCCTGGGATACCAACTCTAGGAATCGGCCTGGGACTAAAGTTTGCCAACCACAGCCATTCGGAGGGGCTGCCGTGGATGGTGAGGGGGAAAGAGAAGCTGTCTTCATGACTGGTACCTGCAAGGAAGACACATATCAAAGACTTAAATGTCAGTCTACTGTGGGTTCTCTTTACTTGTAACCAAGAGTCTTATATATTACAGCATGTGAGACTACATTCATCTCATTTCTTCCCTCTGTTTTTTCTTGCATTAATTTATTTTCCTATAATAGCAGAAACCTACAGTTTCAGATATAACTCAACTGAACTCGAGTACCATCTTCAAGGAATTCTGCTCTGACACCCTAAATTATTAACAAAAAGAGGGTTCAGTTTCAGAACTTAACTTCTGAAGTCTCCTAAGTCTAACCAGAGGCAATGCCTTAGAAAACCGTTTTCCTGGGAAGCTACAACATGATATAAGGACCTCATATACTGAAAGTGAAGCTCAGTTCAAAAGCTAGGCACCCACTCAGCAGCTGGGATTACAGAAATAAACAATACAACCCCACAAGCTGGAATCCATAGACCCTGTAGTTGTAAGTGCCCCTAGCACGAGGCTCCTCCCACTCTTCCCCAAACTCGACCTAATGACAGTTTTGTCTTTTCAGATAAACATTTGATTTTTATTTGATGTGGGCTTGTGCCACATCACAGACACTGTGTTACCTGTTTTGCATCTACCAACTCATTTAACTTTCACACAACCCAAGGAAGTAGCTACACTTCCTGGCTGAGAGACAGAAGGGGTGAGCAGCCTGCCCACAGGGAACCCTGGTCATCAGTCTCAGGGACAGGGCTGAACTGTGGAGCTGCTACAGCTAGCTTCTCAATCAGTAAAGACAGTTACTATAAATTAACTACAATTTATGGGTGACTCGGGTATGTGACCAACTGCAGAGGGTCTAAGTTAAGCAACAGGGAGTGACTGCAAAAGGAATTGGAGCAAACAGATGAGTGTGAGGCAGACAAGGCAGAGGGGCCTTTCATCTGTCCACTCAGCCCCGCATCGAGGGCGCTTACGTGACAGGTATGACCTAACTGCAGAGAGCCCTCCCATTGGGACAGAGTTCTCCAGAGAGAGCAGTCCGTGTGTGACTAAACATCTGATGACAGTGAGTGTTACGTGGAGGATTGAAAAAAGCAGTGTGACCGAGACTGTGCTGCCACATCACACTGGAGGTCTGGGAAGGTCCTGAGCCGGGAGTCTGTGCACATAGGGAGGCCGGGGGGCCACCCTATAAAGATGGAAATGTGCTGCAGAGAGGAGAGGGCCCCCAGTGCAAGATCCCATGGCAGCAGCGGCTGTGTCATGCTTATGGAGCGGAAAAGAGATCAGAGTGGAAGGGGACAGTAGTGAGCGGAGGGCAGAAGGCAGCAGAGAGCTTGGGTAGCCATGGGACACTCTCCCAGGGCAAGGCTGTGAATTCCATGGGTACTGCTGGGGGCAGTGGGGCAGGAAGCAGGGTGACGGGCATCTGTGTAAGATCTCTCCAACTGCTCTGTGGAAACAGACTACAGGTCAGTGGTGCAGGCAGAAGACACAGCAGCTGGCCTAGGTGGCACCAGCTTGTCACTCCTGGGAAGCTACAGATTCCTCCAGCAGGAAGTCTTATTTCTTCTCCTCAAGATGACAGGAAAGAGGCCAGGATATAGTTCAGTGACACAGCACCTGAGTGGCAAATGCAGAGTCCTGACTTTAATTTCAGGTACAAAAAAAGAGATGGCAGGGAAAAATTCGAGACACTGTCTAACTCAGAGCCCTCATCTTCAGAGTGAGCAGCAATGACACTGAGCCAGAGCTTGGTGAGAGATGGACAGCATGGTTCTGGCAAAGGCTGCAGCTTTAGAAAGAGCAGGCAGGAAGACTGGCCAGTGACAAGGAGGCCCAGGATCTCAGTGTATCACTGTGGAGCTGCAAAGGGCCTGGAGTCACCTCAGAGGTTGTTGGAAATAAACCTGGAGTCTCTGACCGGCAGTGCATCTCAGGTCACTGAATACAAACCATTTTGTAAATGGAGAGGAGAGGAGTGGTTGAAGGGTAGTAGGGGAATGGGCAAAAAAAGAATCAGGTTGTATCATGTATAGAGCAAATTTCTCTATGATGAATGTGATCAGTATGTATATCTAAAAATGTACCAATAAAATCTGGCTGAAGAAAAAAAACAATACAAACCAGCCCTTATTAGCTGCGTAGACTTGAACAAGCAACTCAGAAATTCTCCAAACTTTTAAAAATTACAGTAATAAAAACAGTTCCCTTGGGAACTGTTGGGAGTATAAAATGACATGCTGTGTGCCCAAGGGCTCTCAACATCTGTCATGTTTCTTTGTCTCTGAGTTTCAAAGATTTCTCTGCCTCTTTTTTTTTTCTTATCTGAGGCATTTCATTTAGACTTCTGAGGTCCTTGATAGCTTGGCTGAACAACAGGGTTAAACTTTGGTGCTCCTAAAATTCCATTCTTTTCGAGTCCATGTGCCCTCTAACAGAGGAGGTGACTTCTCTGGAGGGGCTAAGCTTGAATGAAAACTCAAGAGTATTTTGGGGAGCTGGTTTAGGCCGGCTGCTGGGCTGGCTGCAAGGTCTAGAATAACACGCTTGGTAGTCTGGCCTCGTTCCACGCCCACCTTACGGCCACTGCCTTCAGGGCCTGTAGTCTGGCTTCTTGCCTAAAAAGCCCTCTCTAGGAGCTGGTTCCTACTCCTCTCTGAGACTTGCCGAAGGCAATCAAACTGCTCTTCTTTTCTGACACAGGATCTCACCATATAGTTTAGGCTGGCCTCAAACTCACAGCAACCCTCCTGCATCAGCCTCCCGCGAAGTACCAGGATTACAGGCCTGCACCACCATGTCCTGTATTCCCAACTCATCTTGAGCACTGTCAGTTTCCTGTCTGAGTTTCTATGAAGGTTCACTGTGCACTGCAAGGCCCTAATCGCACTCTCTCACACTGCTTTGTTTCCCGAGGCCGGGCCTTATTCTCATCGGAATGCGCTGTGGTGTGGACTGGGAACGCCCCCTAAGGACCATGGGTTAACATAGGCTTGATTTTTAGGGTGTACTGCAGCAGTGAGCCTGTACAATCGGGCCTAAGGATGCGTTTAGGTCTCAGGACTGTGAGCCAGTCTCAGTCCCTGCTTTTCCTTTTTGGCTTTGAGGCAATGAGGTAAGTTTTCTCCATTAAGACTCCTGCTATGATCCGCTGCTTCATCACAGGTCCAAAGCAACAGTGTCGACTAATTATGCACTAAAACCTCCAATATTGTCAGTCCAAATAAGCCATTTTTTCTCTTGGCGGTTGAGGGGATCGAACCCAGTGCCATCTTTTCACTAAATGCTCAGCCTTTTTTATTTTAAGACAGGCTCTTTCCAATTCACTAAATTGCCCAGGTTTGGTAGGTGTGGTGGTAGATTCCTGTAATCCCAGTACTCAGGAGGCTGACGCAGGAGGGTTGTTGTGAGTTTGAAGCCAACCTTGGTTCCACAGTGAGTTCAAGGACAGTCTGAACTACACAGTGAGACCCTGAGGGGTAGTAGGAGGACTGCCCATGAGATTATATGTGTGATTACATGTGTAACCGGCTTTTCTTTTTATAAGTCCATTTTCCCAGATATTTTGTTATAGTAATATAAGGCTGACTAACACAAGTATTTGATCTATAGCTCCAGGAAAATGCAGCAAAGATTAGTACGCATCCACAGGTAAAGTTACCTATTGACCAACTGGTTGGGCCTGAGGGATTTTTTCCCCCCCAGGCAGATCCTAAGATAAAAGGTTAACTAAAATAATCTAAGCATTAAAGATAGAGAGATTGAGTGAGCTTCATCTGCAACCCTCATCCTTGGAGTCAAAGATGTTACCCAGGGAGCAGTAGGAAAAATACAACAAAAAATTTGTTTTTTACAGTGTTGAGGATTGAACCTAGGGCCTTGTGCATGCTAGGCAATTCCTTTACCATTGAGCCATATCCGCAGCCCTCAACAGAAAATTTGATTCCTTAGGATTTACTTTCCTTACCTAAATTGTCCTAATCTTCCCCCGGGGGGTAATTTTTTTTTTTTTTTTTTTTTTGGCTTTTTCGTTTTTACCCGTACCAGGGATTGAACCCACGACTGCCTGCTTTCAAGGCAGGCGCTTATGCTTTGAGCTAAATCCCCAGCCCCTGGGGGTAATATTCTTTACTAATGCAAGAGCACCATGGGCAACGATGGTAAGAATCAGTCTTTCTCAGTTCCCCATTCTAGGTTCTCTTCTTACTTCTTCTGACACAGCTGTCATTTCTTCACTATAGCAAGACTGGAATGGCTCCAGATTCCATGGGGTCCTGCTCTTGTATCACATCATCTTGTAATTTTCTCACTCCAAACAAAAATCACCCATCAATGTAATGGATAATGTCACTTCCATAAAATTCACTCTCTCTCCTCTTCATTAAGGTCTCTTCTGTTTCTTTGGAACCAGTGAAACTGCTTCGCAATGCGGTTCCTTCCGCATCTTATGGGAGTGGAACTGAGTCATTCCTGCCTTAGGTCACCTATTTCTACTAACCTTAAGGTCTTCAGATGGCACAGAGCCAGGCCACCTCCTTCAGGTCCTGTGATTTGTTTGCACACCTCTCTGCCCTGTACTCTACCAAGGTCTTCCCACTATTAAAACCAAACAACTCAACTCAACAGCAAATGCCATAAAAGGCCAGGCCTTGCACACCACAGTAAATCAGATCTAGTGAATCAGGCACTGGTCTCTATTCCTAAGACAAGGATGCTGGCATCAGAGGGAGGCGGCAACACCAGGCATATTTCAATCAGCTTCAAGAGGCAAGTCTAATAATAATAAAGAAAAGAACAGAGCCCACTTTGCCCCCCTGCAAAAGAGGTAACAGTCTGAGAAGTCAGAGCCTGGAATCTAGTTTCAGTTTACTGTCATCAACCTCAGGCAGCAACTGGGACTCCTATGGATCTGCGACTCTACCTCCATAAGTCAACAGGACTTTGTCCTTACAGTGTCCTTTTCATCTCAGGATCCCCCAGGAGGTAAAAAGCAAGTGAGTGCAGGTAAGGGAAATGACTCAGATGACACACGCCACCCTCACTGAGTAACTCTCTGATGCAGTCCGGACTCAAAGAGTGGAGGGACATGGGTGAGAGGCGTCAGCAGAGGCACACCAAAAAGTCGCACAGGGAATGCAGCCTCGGCCCACAGACTCACCGTCCTCGATGTCGTAGGCGTACGCCGAGAGGCGCAGGGTGGTGGCACAGTACTCGCACTTGAAGCAGCTCCGGTGGAAGAACTTGCCCTCGGCACTCAGCCTCTCCATCACGTACACCCGCTTCTGGCAGAAATAGCAGGTGTCGCTGCCCCCTAGGTTCTGCGGGAACTCCTTCTTCATGGAGCCCTGTGGGGGAGAGCGGTGAGGTGTCAGGGCAAGGGCTTCCTGGAACGCCCTCCCAGAGCTACACGCTTTTATTTGCAGCAAGTATGAGCCGGCTACATTCACCCTGCCTTCAGCTCTCCCACTGGGTCATGGAACTCCCGCAGTAGCTGTTTCACACAGCTCCTCTAAGGTGGAGTCTGAATGGTTGTTGATAACAACCAAGACTTGTTCTGATAAAGAATCCGAATGTGCAGAATTTCATAACAATCAAAGCAAATTACTCTGACAAAACTCTGTTTGGAGGGTATCACACATATACTCATACTCAGTAATCATAGATATATAAATGCGTTTCATGCACACTAGTGATCACTTTTAGTAAAATTCAATGCTTTTCCGCATAACATTCTAAACTTCTAATACAGTTCTAGCAGTCAGTTATCAAAATTCAAACAACTCAAAAAAAGAATAATTACCACATGGCAACACAAGCGGCCACACATGTTACTAAGCTCCTTAGAACAAGCAAGAGTCTGCTTGACCACCGCAGTGTCATGGCTAGCGACAGTGCCCTTGGGATAGCTCTTACCAGTTCCTTCTTGTCTAGAAGGGTTTTGGGCTGCTCTTTCCTTTGCAGCTGATTGGCTATCTGCTCAGCCAATGAGCTCACTCCGCCAGTGTACATCTTTATATACTTCTATGGGTCGGAGAGTACAGACAGACCAGAATGAAGGGGAATGAAAAGGCAAAATAAACAAATTAAGAAGGAAAAAAAAATCTCTGAAAGATGTAAAAAGGAAACCAGTGTAGCAGCAAACCATGCCAACACAGTGCCCACAAGCAGGGAAATGGGTGGTGAGCAAAACACTGCCCTAGTGTCCCCCTGGGGTCAGCACAGGAGGAAGCTGCAGCTGTGGACAGATGGCTTTCCACAGGGGAGAACTGAGTCTTCCATATCTTTTAGAATATACAGTTCTAGGATGTATGGGGAGGTAAGATCTGCAGGAGGGATACAGAAGAGAGTGAGAAGGGCCTATATTCCGGTGACTCAAATTATACAGACAATTCAAGAGGAACAACTCCAACAGGCCCAGATTATCCTATTTCAAGGAATGAGGGAGGGTCTCTGGCAGGTTCTCTCATTTACAAAGAAACTGAGCTCAGAGTTGCAAAGGCTGACTCTACTTGTGTACCACACTGAGTTCCAATTTTTTTTGACTACGGTGCCTGTACTATGTAAGGCCACCGGCCAGCTCTGCTGGGAGCTTCCTCTCTGCCCATTTTCCCTGCTGATATTTAATGGGGTTTGAGAAAAGCACAGTGAGACCCCTGAGATACATCCAGGGTCTAAAGCCAGACCCTTCTAGGCTGGGTGGAGTATCTCAACCACAGGCTACAGCCCTGTAGACAGTAACTCAGATCCAGAAAGTCAGAATGTTTCTAGTCCAAGAGAAATTAGTTTTATAGGTTGAAAAAAGGTAAAAGAAAGGGAAAAAAAGATCCAACCAATTCAATTCTCTTCCTGGCAATATAGAAGCAGCAGCAGAAGAACACTGCCAAGTTTGCACAGTGAACCTTCTGATTCACATTGAGACTGGCATCAGGGTGCCAGCTTTGCAGCATGTCCTGGGGTGGTGTCAAAGGTTTGGTGGCAGTCCCTTAGAGACTCCACATCTAGGCCAACTTCCTAGTGGAGCTGGCCATGATACATGTGTGTACCATACATGTCATGCCACGGAACAGGGGGGCCACAGCTAATTCTGACCCACAATCAGGAGCAGTTATCTTGGAGATGGGCATGGGCCCTGAGAAAGTAGTGTGGCTATGGGTCCAGATACGTAAGAGTGGCACTGGCCTGAGCAAGGGCATATTGAGGCAGGATATGGACAAAGAGAAGTACTCTAAGGGCAGGTGAGATGACTCTATGCAAATCTGGGAACAACAGAGGCAAAAACAAGAAAACAATTCGTGCTTGGCTTAGTTCAAGGGTTAGTTAGAACTAAGGAATTGATTACATTTTCCAGTTTAAAAATAAGGATTGGTGCAACTTGCCCATTAACTAACAGATCATATCCATCAGTGGCTGAGGAAAACAAGTGGCTCCTAAGATGCTAAACCTTTAGGTTGGGGCCTGTGGAGACACCAGGCAGAGCGAAGCACATCACTTAATAGCTGATACCGAGGGCGCAGAAAATCACGTCTCTTTCATTCTGCAGCAGACAAGTGAGAGTGTGGACCAGACATCACGCGTGAGGCTAGGAGACTGTGCAGCCCGAGGCTCTTGCTGTGCACCCCAACCAGAAACCATCATCTTCAGTATTACAGCCTGGGCTGCCGCGTGCAAAGGCATTTGCCACATTCAGTTCCCAGCGATGTGGTAACGCTGACAGGCATGAGCCCTTGCCCTGCCAGAGGTGAAGATCAAATTCTATTTCTGTCATGAAATGCAGATAGTTTTCTCCTCCCCACTATTAAAAAATAGTCAAAGGGTAGCAACCCCCAGACTTTTACCGCCACACAACACACATTTACATATACTCCTGTGCGCACATACTGCTTAGGACGCACACAAGGGCAGGAAGACCCTTTGATCTCTCTAAAAACTCTTCTGTGGCTGGACCAGAGCCACTGGGGAAAACTGTAGGTTCATTACTCACATGACTACGAATCAAGAAGCCCCCCAAAGACTACACATTCACTACTTCACTGAAGGCATTTGGCTACATATGGTTCATACTGTGTAACACGTATGATCAGGAAGACCTGTGAAGTAAAAAAGCTGACAGCTAAAAAATGCTTATTGTTACTGGAGTCAGTCAACACACAATCAAAGTAGGCCAACTTTGACATTCCGAACATGATCCAGTTACAGCCAGCAGCCTGTTAAGTTAGGTGTCTGCTGCAGCAACCTTCCCTCTCTCCTACCGAAGCCTGCACGCCATTAGCTCCCTACAGAGACAGGCCAAGGTTAAGACCACCAGATGACAGGCGTGAAGATGGAGTGAGCAGAGGCTGCAGCAGGAACGTGGCTTTGCCAAGTCCCAGGCCATGCTACCTGTCGGAGGGAGTCTGAGGAGGGAGAGGCAGGGCGATTGGAGGAACGGAGACTAACAGAAAGCTCCCACTGGTCAACAAAAAATCGACGAGGAGGTTCAGGCTCTGGCTACAAAATATAAGATGGAGAAAAAAGGTCAAAGGATATGTTAACTTGAAAGTCACACCCTGCACTTAAGGAATCTGGCAGTTTTAGACCCTTCTTCTCTAGACCTTAAGTGGTAAGCAAACAGTTCCAGGCCCCAGAAGCATAAGTGACCCATGCAACTCAAGGTTTCTCTTTTGCCCTTGCTGACATTCTCCATGGCTTACACTGACGCTCATTCTGGAACACAAGTTGAGGAGCTGTGATCTACCCATGAAAGCCCCGCTCTCTCCACTTGGTACTCTCACCCCCCACCCAAGTGGGTACTGGTGCCAGCCAGGTGAAATAGTGCCAGCCAGGTAATGGTGCTGGCAGAAGCAGGCACTGTGAACACGTGTGCTCCCTGTGCTCTGCAGGAAACCCCCTATCCTGGCCTGAGCTGGAATTTGTCCTGGGCATAGAGGTCCTGCCATCAGACCATGGCTCCTTCAGCCCACACAGCAGGCAAGAGAGACAGCAGAGCCAGGACTGAACACTCTCTTTCCACATGCCGCCAAGCATTGCAGCACCTCCTCTGGCCATCCCTACTGCCTGAGAAGCTCTGCGTTCTGAGGAGCTGACTCATCCCTAAGCATTAGGAGGCAAATCTTAAAGCTCCCGCACTATGGACTGCATATAGCTCAGGTAGCAAATGTGGGCTGGGATCTTCCTTAATGGTAGCCCATGCAGCTGGGTACTTTGGTGTCTAGAGATCAAGGTGGCTACAAGCTCTGGTGAACAATAACTGCCTAGCTTCCCACCAGGCTCACTGTAAACTATTTATAAGGTATGAAGGATGGAGTAATGAGATGCCCTCCGCTCTTCTGGTTCCAAGCAGATTCACTGCACCCCCTACTTTAGCCAATAGTCACTACACACTACTGGGGTGACAGTGTGAAATAGCAGGTACCTGGTACCTCCAAGCTTTTACCCCAGACTTGTACCCAGTCCCTGGGGATGGTTGCTGTGGAAGAGCACCACCCACTAACAGGAGTTGAGAGGACTGAGTACTTCCTTTGATGGTGGGACTGTCAGAGCTGAGAAGAAAGCAGGCCAGTAGCATGCAAGTTAGGGAGCTGTGGAGGGGCCCTGTGCTGAGGCCCGGTAGCAAGGAATTCAGAAACCAGTCACTTGGTTGATTCCTGAGCTCCGAACCCCACCTATTCCCCTCAATGATGTATCTCAAGACTTCAAATTGCTTCTCCTACTACCTGATTCTCCTTTTACTTAAAATATTCCTCCCATCTTCTTTTAAGTGTTTTATTATGCATCATTGGGACTTCATTAAAAATGCATTTTTAGAACTGTAGGGCATTGTCCTGCTCAATGAAAATGCCTAAAGAAATACAGTATAGTCTGGAAAGGAAGGAAAGGGGCCAAGGCACACATCATGCTCGAGAGAGAAAGCAGCCCCAACAGGAGTGAGCAAAGAGAGCTGGCCATGCTGAGATGCTGGGCAGGCCAGTACCCTGCACCTTGGCCTGCCTCCTCCCCCTAGCCCAGCACGCAGTGTGGCAGCACACACCTGCTGATAGCTGGTGAGGGCACAGGAAGACAGTGCTAGGATTAGTTTCCTACAGGAGCTGAGAAGCAACCTGACCTAGTGTTTGGTGTAACTGTCTACAAATCATAAAAAGAGCTTCTGTGAGCATACAACTATAGATGATCCACTCTAGATGCAAAGCCATCTCCATTTGGAGATATTCAAGGGCAGAATTTCATAGACTAAGCAGGCTTCTTTAACAGATCTCTGCTACTGATTACATTATATGATGGCCAGTTGTGATTTATCCCCTTAGATTTTTCGGAAATGACAAGCAAAAGCTTTTTGTTATGCACTCCCATGTCGTCCTCACCTTTACACTAGAAAAGTCCTCTCCCTACTAAGTGTTGGCCCTCTTAGTATTCCTATTTCGAGACCCACGACTGCAAACACTATCTGCTTACGTAAGTGCTCCCTAATAGTCCATGGTGCTCTATCACTAATACCTGTTTGAGGGTGGTGATAGTACGGTCTTGCAATTGGACAGGTACACAGAAATGGGAAGTCATTAAGACACTTTATGCAAACAACCACTTAGGCTTAGCATCCTGTCTGAATCCTGGGCAGATGAGTGTTCTACGGTCAATCTGCTTGCATGGGCCAACACTGTTAGCAAAAAGAAATCTGGCTCTTGGCTAGGTGACAAGTATGCAAAAAGCAAGGGGAGCGGGGACCATCCTCCAAGCCCCTGTCCTCTGCCCACCACACAGCGTGCCCCATCTGTTTGGCTCTCAGCATCCCATGCCACGCTTTCATGCTCCTTTACCCTCTCATGGTGGGGACTCTGCTTGCCACAGGTGTCAGCATCAAGATGCCTGTATCTCTGTTGATAACAAAGCAGAAACTTAAAATACCATCCAGATACTCTTTTTCAACCCACCAAGTGACAGTGGAAAATTCAGTGCCACAAATCGTTCAAAGAAAATGCTTTCCAGAGGGGAGGGGAAAGGACAGCATAGCCTGAAAGGAAGGGACTGGGACACCTCGCCCACCTGGCCTCTAGTGAGGTCAGCTACACAGATTAACAAAGAACTGCGGTTAGTACTAAGGTGGATCAAACATATTTCTTTCACACCGTGGCATGAGGTCAGAGGCATTCAGTGAAGGTTTAGAAGAAGGCTGGTTAGCAGGGTACAGCAAGACATTAGAATGGGAAGGTGGGGAGATGGAAACCACCTGGACTAAACAACCATTACAATGGCCCAGCTGAAACTGCGAGGGCGGGAGGCATGTGGGGAGTGGCCCTGAATAGGAATATGGAACCAAGGCAATTTATTATGGGAGAACTGGACAAGGACTGAACAAAGTTTTAGTTTATTGGCATGTGTGAGAAGCTTGGAAACCCATCAGACAAGCCCAGAGCTGCCTTGCTGAGCAGAGGAAACCACTAACTCAGCAATCACAGCAACAGGGAAGACCTCGCTCAGCACTAGGATAATGAAGGATTTTTCACTGGGGAAACACTGATCCAAAGTCTCCTGCACAGCTGCTTTCAGCCAGCGACCACAAGCATAATGTCTCTACAAGCAGGAGGAAGCCAGGGCCGGGCTTCGCTCACACAACCTGGAAGCAGGTCTGGTTCCAGAACTTCCTGTGTGGGCTGGTGCAGTGACTTGGTATCTCCACCCATGTCCCAGTCTCATCTACAAAGCCTTGTAGTTCTATTATGAGAACTGATGGACCTGATCCTCGAAAGGGACTTAGAATACTGCGTGCGCACACTAAGTGCTCACAAATGTTCACTCTTTTTTAGAGACAAAGCCTTAGGCAGGCAGCTACCACAGTCACCAGGACTCAGTTCTTAGGCTTGGGGGAAACAAACTGGGCCTTGACCAGACATGATCAGTGGTCACCTTTTACACAGGATACCTTGATGGAGAGACTGTTTCTCCACAGATCTTGTCCTCAAAACCAGCCTTGTATTTTACAGGGTGATGTCACAAAAGTCAACAAAACCACTCCATTAACACACTTGCTGCATGTGTGCTTAATGCCCTCGGAGCCATGTCCGGGGGATGCCAGCTTAGAGAGCTGTCTTGAATGATCTGCCTGGAGTGAACAGGACTGATGGGGAAAGGCAGCGCCTGCTGGGAGAAGGTGGGTTAAGTACAAAGCGGGCGCTCAGAATCGCAAGGCATCAAATTCATGTATGAAGCTTCCAAACGCTCACACCTCACTGAACAGCAAGAGAAAAATGGCTGCTTTAAACAGATAGATAAAAATGTGCTGCCCTCAGGGCTTCTGGGCCCTAATCTGTGACAAATACATTTTACACATTAGTCTGTAGCTGTGCAGTTATAGCCCCATGACAGATACTGGAGTAAACCAGTCTGGCTGTACAATGCGTTATCCCGGGGTCCAGTCGGGAATTGCTCATAGTAGCAATACAGGTTGCTTCTGCTACCACTGGTCTTGCTTAAGAGTTATCTTTGCAAAGAGGCCATACTGAGTGGATCTCTATGGAGACAGGCAGGAAACAGGATAGAGAGCATGCAGAGAAGGTCACCTGCTGGCCACTGTGCACCCGGCAGGGAAGTGGAGAAGGGGGAGGACACAGTGTGATCACTTTTTTGGGGCAGGTCCGAGAATGGTCCTTTCCTCGTCGCTTTTACACCAACAGACACAAACAGATAGAGGTTTGCTGAAACAGTGGTCACATGAAGGGTGGCTCCGGAAAGGCTGAAGCATACCTAGGGGCCCTTCCATGTCCCTCTGTCCTCAACAGCACATCGTTGTGCAGAGGGGGTGGCTTGTCAGTCTCCTGTTGGCCCGCAAACAAACAGTGCTGGGAAGAATTCAAGGTGTGGCATTTTTTAAATGCCAGGAATCAAGGAATTTAATAGTCAAGCTGAAGGAAAGAGAAATGGGCTTGATTTTCACTAGACAGAGAGGCAGATGGACCCAGTCACTCCCTTTCAATGGTCTGGTGTCTCTCTCTTTCTCTCTCTCTCTTGCTCTTGCTCTCTCTCTCTCTCTTTCTCTCTCTCTCTCTCTCTCATACACACAGAGCGCAGCAGCAAAGCAGCACCCTGAGAGCAAACTGAGACAACACCCCACCAATGTTCCCCTTTTCTCAGGCCACTGACTCATACAAGCTCTGGAAAACTACCATGGAATGTACACAAAAATACAGGACAAAGAATTAAGCACATTTCTCTAAAGCCATATGATGCCCATGGCTTTTTCCTAATTCTGCCATCCAAGATTTTCCATCTAAGATTGAGAAAGACCCTGTATATTTGAAGGAAAAAAAAATCACACACTACCCTAAGCCTCTCCTGATGCCTTCCAGGAAATTCCCAGTTACTCTTGCCCAGTTAGCACATGGGAAGGCCTGGAAGGGGAAAAGATTGTGGGATATGAGCCCTACTGTCCCCACCTCAGGTGATAACTAAGGCTGGCTTCTTCCAGAGCTAGCCTGCAGGATGCACTTCTGAGATCAAAAAGTCAAAAGGTAGGGAGGGAAAGAGCCACAGCGTGGACACAGGAAGGTGAAGAGGAGAGGTCACTGGGAAGCACAGCTGTTATTCATTTCCTTTCTTCCCCACTGTGACCCAAGTTGGAAACAGTTCTCATGCCAACTGATCCACCCCTGCTGTCTGCCCCACCCTCCCCTCCTAGGAACCACTTCAAAAGAAACACAAAGACAGCCACATGTGGGGCTGCTGCTGGTGAGCCCACTCCTAAAGGGAGACCAGAGGCCACCATCAGGCAGGTCAGGAGCTGTTCTGTCCCCAGGTATCTGTAGTATCCGGCACCATATTTACCTCTAACTTTCAGGAAATAAATTTAGAGGGCCAAGACTCATGAGCTAAGGTTGAGAGAATAGTGCATATAAATAATGTACACCTCACAGGGATATAAGAATTGTGAGTTGTAAGACTTCAGTGCTATAGGGTTAAATGCAAGGTTGTGAGTTCGATCTCCAGTACAAAAAAAAAAAAAAAAAATCCACTTCCGTGCTACCTTTCTGCATTCATGTAAATTCACAGTTCCCAACTCTACACAATCTAAAGCTTGCAAGAATCTAAATGGGGTTCGCTGCATGTGATTTCTCAGTTTCCCCAGTTGCTCTTTCTAATTCTCTGGTGCTCCCTTCATGGAACCTGGTCAACTTCAAAGGTTTCAATCTGCTGCCCGGATGGCCTGCCAGTATTCTACTTTATTGACTGTGACCATAGATAACCGGATGACAAGCTGGACAGGATGGGTAGAAAAACATTCTTCACACAGTTAGCGGCAGTCAGATGCTTCGTAAGCAGCCTTGTAAGATCAAGCTTCTAATGTCCCTCCAATGTCCTGTCAAATGAGCAGCTGACCGGTCAGTCCTCACCAGGACAGAGGCCACAGCTCAGCCAGGCTCTTAGGGCCTCATTCACCACCCCTCACTTTCCAGCAAGCCCCCCAAAGCTGCACCAGACACGCACCACAATCATCTACCCACCCACCTACACAGATGACTCTTCAGCTCTCTCCCACATTGCTCCTATCTCAGGTCCCCTTTCATTTATTTATTTTTCAGGCCACCACTAAAGAAAGTACAAATCTGAGGTCTCTAGCATCTGGTTTACAGTTCACTTTCGCCCTCAACAGATCTTCAACTGAAGATTCTCTCTCAAGTCTTACCTTCCACCTAGACTTCAAGGCAACGGGCAAGAACATAAAATGCAAGTGAATTTTTGATGAAAAATTTTCAGAAGCCTTCTCCCAGGCACAGAGAGAGGCATGTTTGGTTTCTGCTGCAAGTTTGGACATCATTCCCAAGATTCCAGCTCAGCCTTGGAGGCCACGACTTTTGCAGGGCACAAGCCTAGAATGGAACATTCTTCCCAGAATGCAACTTAAATGAAGCCCTACTCCCCCCTCCACAGCACTCCCAGTGGCAGGCCACTCCACACAAGGTTGCTGAGGCCAGCTGTACAAGTTAAGGAGGCTTGGGTCAGTGCAGCAGACCTTACAGCACCATAAAGTTCTAAATGAGATCAAACTAAGGGACAGCTAATTCAGGCTTCCTGGAGCACGAAGCTGCTCAACTATAAAGTGGAAGAAAAAACAGGTGAGGCCTCCATCCCTATTATAAAGTGTTCTTTCCTGTATTATAAAAAGAAACAGTTTTAGTAAAAATCACAATTACTTACTTAATTACTTAATTAATTATTAACTAGGTAGCCCAGGCTGGCTTTGAGATTCTGGGCTCAAGTAACCCTCTTGCTTCAGCTTCACAAGTAGCTGGGCCCTCAGGCTGTTTAACACCACGTCTGGAGAAAAGTTTTCTCAATAAGCCTTCCTTCCCCCACCCCCAGCCTATGAATACCTTTGTCTGAAACAAACAAATACCATAGTTCAAGATAACTTCTTGGGTAACACTTTCCCACTTCATTTGAGAGGCCTTACTGTCTCAGTCCTGATGAAGCCAGTGGTCCCAGGAGTTGGCATGCTACCAAAAAGCCAACTAGAAACAGAGGTCATGGTAGCACAGCCTCAACAGCTAAGGTACCTTAGCTACCATCGGTTAGCTTTAACACCAAATCAACAGTCTGCCCTTTTGACTGGCTTTTCGAGTCCCCCAGCGTTCATGGAATCAGCATTGTCTGCTAAGTATTTTCCCAGAGTCATCACTTGAAGGAATACAGAACTCTCCTACCCTCGTAAGCCAGGATCCTCAAGTGCAGGCCTGACCCAGGCCACCCCCAAAGTGGAGTGGGGTGGCAGCCCAGCCTGGTCCCTGGCAGTTCCTTTACCTGTTTCCACTGGGGGATGTGAGCAAGGCGACCCTGCTCAGGCAGGTGACAGGACGGCTGGCTGACCCCACGCTCTTGTGTTGGCTGTGACACACAGGCCAAGTGTGGGTGGGGACAGAACATAGAGACAAAACAAAATAAAATACATTAAGATAAAAGAAACAAAATAGTACTCACAGAGGGGAGACACACAGCTTCCAACTGTGAGGTGTGTGGGTGGGTGGGTGGGTGGGGGTTTACAGTCAATTCTTAGACAGTTACACTTAAAAAGGAAAGAAAATACTCCGCCTAGGGGCTGGGGATTTAGCTCAGTGGCTTAAGTGCCTGCCTCCCAAGTGGGCAGTCATGAGTTTAATCCTTGGTACCGATTTAAAAAAAAAAAAAGGTGGAGGGGGGAAATACCCCGCCTCCAAACCAAAAGCAAGTACAAAGAAGAAAATAAAGGCAGGAAAAGAGCGGCGGTAATTCTCATTACCGTATACCAAATTTGATCCTCTGAATCTTAATTTGCCAATTATGATTTGGAAAACCAATTTTTTTCTCCCAAGTGAGAGAAGCGTTGTCTCTTAGAGGCAACCTTCTTTTAGCCTTCTTGGGGTGGGGAGACCCCCAACTCCAGGTGACTTCTAATGCTCCCTACCAACCACTACTAGCTTTCCTGAGCCACAGTAGGGAAACTGGAGTGCAAACACCAGTAATCAAAGACACAGTGACAGGTTACTGCAGGCGGACTCCAAGGGAGCTGGTGCTGGTCCAGCGGTCCATGGGGACAGCAGCTGATGGAAGGAAGAACGAAGAGAACAGGCCTGCTCTCCTCTGCACGTTCTTCTAGGTGGGCAGGGAGTTTTGTCAGTAAATTTCAGTGTGAATCTCCAACTCCCAGCCCCTCCGCTAGTAAGAAGCCTTAGGGACTTGGACATGATCAATAAGCAAATAGGACCTAATGAGGTCACCTTGGGTCAAACGCTGTGTGGCACTCACTTCACGACTTACAGGGTGCAATTCAGTACTAAAATGTTTGCATTCCTAATAGTATTCTAGGAAATAATCTGCAACACACAAAGGCAGCTTTGTCCCAAGAAATTTACCTCTGATTCTTATCATGAAAGATGAGAAACAACTAAAACATCCAAAACGGGAGCAATGCTAACGCAGAGTGTGGTGCCCGCACATTTTGGAAGACATAGAGTTTGGAATAACATGGGAACGAGCCCAAAGTTCAATGAAAACAGCAGAACAGAAGTATATGTTAAGAATGACCTCCAAGCCAGGCATGGGGGCACACACCTATAATCCCAGCACTCGGGAGGCTGAGGCATGAGGATCACTGTGAGTTCAAAGCCAGCCTGGCCTACAAAGTGAGTTCAAAGCCAGCCTGAACTGCATAGCGAAACCTAGTCTCAAAAAGAAAAAAAGACCTCCATTATGCAAATGAGAACGTATGGAATAAAGGATCAGAAATAGATATGTAGTAAAATATGAGCAGATTTATGCAAGTGCCTAAATTGCTTTTACTACACTTTCAGTATGTATGTATGTATGTGTGTGAACTATACATACACATTTTTTTAGATCTCCATGCTGCTTTTTGTCACAGATACCTTAGAAGTGAATGCAGAAGACAAAGCAACTTTGAACATTTACAATGAACTTAGGAAATGCTCATCTCTGTCACAGTCAGATGATGGAAAACCAGATCCTAATCTTGAGTCTCTGGGTACCAGGTTTGTCATACAGCCTGTCTCACTACACTGGAAAGATTCCCATTCCTGTATGGCCCGACCAATAGGATGGGTGAATGGGAAATGAGCTTACCTGCCTCCTTATGCCAGTGGACTGGGCCGGTGCATTCTCTTCAAATTTGGCCAGTAGCTGAGTTGCCATGTACTTCACTTTGTTTTGGTTCCCGATGGCAACATCCATCCTCCTGTCTGTCAGAGTGCTCACCAGTGTTGGTCTTTCTCCTCTGTAGCCCCTGGAAACCTCTTCCTGCTGAGCAGCAAGTACCCCAGAGACAGACTCCATTAGAAGGGTCCCACCCATTTGCTATTTCCTCCAAACAGCATGGCTGGGATCTGCACAGTGGTTTGGGTTTGCCAGCAGTTTCTGAGGTGCTAATCTCAACAGCCAGCAAGAGCACAGTATATTGGGCAGTACTGCTGTTCACACTCGTGTCGGTATCATCCAAGCCCAAGAAAGCCACTGTGCCTCATCAAATGTGATTCCAAAAGACCAGAAGGCCTGAGAGCATGTGGGTACATATTACCTTAGTGTGCTCCAAAATAACTAAGCAAAGGCAAAAGCCATCTGCCCATAGATATTCTCACAAAGAATGAACATGCAAAGTTCTAGAGAACCAAACTGGGAATTAAAGATTGTAATCAGAGGAGGAATGAGCATAACCATTCTCCCAAGTCACAGATGAAGCTCACCTCTTCTGACTGACTAGTCTTTCTCCTCTTTCCTGCTCCATCCAGGTCCTTTTCTTTCTTATCCTGCACCAGGAGAAAGGGAACCGCATTATTCTGGGCGCTCCGCCTTGTCATCAGCTCTGCAGCTGCCAACTTAACAACCCCTGCATGGACGAACCTTGGGAGAACGCTTCCGGGAGATGGTCTGCCCGAGCTTGCTAAGGAAGGAAATGGGGGACTTGGTGCTGGCAATCAAGACTGCTTTCTCCTCAGCATTCAGATCCAGGGTGTCTGTGAACAGAAGTCAGCAATGTTCAAGGTCACTCCCCGCCAGGAGCCGTGAAGTCCTAACCACAGCCACTCTCTTGAAGGGTACATGCACTAGGGCACTAGGGAACATCCCCTCAGGGAGCTCTAAAGGCTCACTGGCTAAGACAAAGCACACAAATCTCTGTAGGAAGTGCCACAAAGGAAATGCACCCTTGGGTGTGCACACTGAGCCTTCTTTTTTCCATCCACGTAGACAAAGTATACTTGGTTATAAAACCTGCACTTTCACTTTTCAAAAGGCTGTCATCTGCCTGTGATCATTAATGCAGAGTGGGGAAGCCTCACCTTAGTGATGCAAATTCCAGGATGGAGAGAAACAGGGAGAGGAGAGAGGAGAGCAGAGAAGCGAGAAACTCAGAGCCACTGCTCTTGGTGGATGGAGAGGCCAGGCTCTGAGGCACGTGCGAAGGGCACTCTCCCTGAAAGGTAAGCTCCTGCAGAGGCGCGCACTTCTGGGCTAAGAACTGCCCATGTAACTGAGAAAGCCACAGATGCCTGAAAGCATCTTTTGGGTTAGGAGGCAATGGGGTTGGTACCATAAATTCTGGGGACTGCAATGTTTTATTAGATAATTTTAAAAATAGCACTTGAAGATTATTAATAATATTGCTAACATTTATTAAGTGCTTCTGTCAAATGCTTTTTAGTATGTCACAATGTAACTGTATGAAAATATATATACATATACATGTCCTTTTTATATAAGAACTGAGGAAATGGAAAATTTATTAAGTTGACCCAGGTCCAATGTGGAAGTTTTAGATGTAAACCTAAGGTGAATAACATGGGTCAAAACTCTTAAGCATTATATTACATTTACTTCTAGGGATAATAAATGACAACAGGAATATTTATTGTAGCACTATGATAGATTGAGGTGGCAGGCTGAGGGCCAAATAAAAGATAAAAGGCAGGAATAGAGAAACAAGCCAGAGAAGAACAGTACCAGAAGAAAGGAGAATAAATCTAGCAAGACACAGGCTCACAGAAGTTGACTAGGACAGAATTCCACAACACCTAATAATGCAGGAAAGCTAAGTGCTAAATGATGAAAAAATCAGAGAGGAATATGAGTATTTTGATTCTTCGCAACTGTGGTGGACAGTGCAGGGAAAATGGTGCAAAAAGGTGTCGGGTTAAGAAATGTTCCATTTGGGCTGGGCATTTAGCTCAGTGGCATAAGCGCTTGCCTGGCAAGTGCGAGGTCGTGAGTTTGATCCCTGATGTTCCAGTTTAGGTGTAGAGTGCATGGAAACCACAAATGCAAGCCTTTTCTTCTGAAAGACTGGCTCTGAGAGGATGGGCAGGAAAGTCACGGAATGAAAGTTTAGACAGATGCCTGGGAATGTAGGTAGCTCTGCGGGAGAGCACCTTCCAGACATGCAGAAGGCCCCAGGTTCCATTCTCAGCAAAAAGTCTGCGCAGGAACGAGTTCTGCATACTTACAGGTTAAGTGAAAGAGATGTCGAGAAGAATGAGTGATTGAGAAAATACCACCAGAGGAGGGAAACAATGAAGGAATCTTCCAGAGACCTCCTCTAATGGCCAACCAGTAAAAAGAATAAGCCTGAGCACGGGGGTACTGCATTTACTGGTACTGCAGAGGGATACAGTTTGAGGGAAAGAAAAGGCAGGCAACAACTCAGCAGGAGAGAGGCCTTTACCGGTGGAAGACAGTGAGTCCTTAAACATCTCGTAGAACTGAGTCAGGTACATCACCATGGACAGCTTGTCGGGTTCCCCAACTGAGGCCATCTCTTTGCCTGTCATGATGGGAGAAATGCCCAGTTCCTTCTCAGCAATATCAAAGGCCAGCTGGTTATTCTTCTCCACATTCTGCTCATCCAAAGAATCAAAATCTCTGAGAAACAGCACATGCAGAATTGATCAAGTTGAGCTGACTCTCCTCAAACCAGCAAACACAGTTAACGTGAAGTTACTGTCATTTCTCATTTGTCTTTTGGCTACAATCTATAGAGCAGCACTCTGGTGGAATCTGAGAACAAATCTGTTCCTCTATTATTCTCCTTCCATTTCCTAAGGAAATGCAATCCAGGCTCAAGAAATGATTAGAAATCTACCCCATAAAGGAAAAAAGGGAGGAAAAGGTGAAGACTCCCTCATTTTTTCAGTAACACAAAATTCTTACTGAAATGCACGCTCAGGACAGAACTGTCTCTCCTGTACCCAAGTGTCCACGAGTATGAAGCAAATGTCCCACAGTGAGGAGAAGGGTCCCTGGCTCAGATGCTCCTAAAGCCTGTGGTGATCACCTGTCTGGGACTCACCCACCAGCAGCACAAACTATCCTAAGTCAGCTCTGGAAAATCTCACTCCATCTTCTGTGGGGAAATTTCAAAAACTCTTCAAAAGTTTTCCCAAAGCTAAATTTCCTGAATTTTCCCAAGTACTTAGTTTAACAAACATTTCCCACTGGGGCTTCAGCCTTTTGTTTTTCAGAGTAAGGACTAATAGCATTCTTCTTGGAGGATTCGGATCAACTGGACAGGCCTTACTTTATGTCAACTGGATTCCACGGCACTTTTCCACTGCCTATTAAACTATGGACACTAATCCTGAATGAGGTCATTGTAGTCTGAACAGTGCCAAATACTATCTGCAAATACATACACAAATACATATGCAAGCACTATACATTAAATTTTTTCCTTAAGTTGCAAACCCCCCCCCCTCTCTTCCTTTGGTGGGAGTAAATAAGCATTATTTTCTAAGTGTTATTTCACTTGATGAGCTAAGTGACAGGATTGTTGGAGGCCACTTAGCTTTAACCAAGCACATCAATGTCTCCTTCCTCCTGTTTTGGCAGTGCTAGGTATGGAACTCAGACCCTCAGCCATGCCAGTTAAGTGCCCCACCACTAAGCCTCAGTCCTTCCCATCTTTAATCCACAGTGTACAGGTTGTTTACAATCACATAACTAGGGACTATGACTTTTAGGACTTAAGCTATCATTAAAACAAAATAAACCAAAAATATTGGCCTTTAAGTGAACCCAGTGATAAAAGGCAGTCAGAGTTACCTGACATGCTCTGGTTTCTGAATCTTTTGTTTGTTTGTTTTTTGGTACCAGGGATTGAACTCACAACCTCGTGCTTGCCAGGCAGGTGCTTATGCTGCTGAGCTAAACCCCCGGCCCCTGGTTTCTGAATCTTTTTGTTTGGCTTCTATGGTAATAAACTCCTATAGGAGAAATATGAGTACACTGGTCACTGCAGCAGACCTGGGGTCATCCTAGTGCCCTGATTTTATAGACAGGTGACTGAAGAATAGACCAAGGGAGACATTACAGGTATAGTGGGTAAGGTGACATGAAATTTATGAACTTAACAGAACATACGGGCAAGAAATACAGTCTTTAACAAAGCAAATAATAATGAACAATCATAAATCAGGTAAGTATTGTTTTCTGTTTTACTGGTAGTGACATATTCATCTTGAGCTAGCCAAATGTTTCAGCCAGATTTCCCTTGTGACCACCAACAACATTTGAGAGATAGCTGGCCAAATGAAGAGTTCAATTCGAGGCCAACACACAGAGTTTTCCTCTGTGTGAAGCTAACAGGATCAGTTTTTAACCCTGCAAATGCTGTGATTTTTAATCATTCCTGAGTGGAGTCATATAATGCTTGGTATTGAGTTTTAAATGTAAATAAGCCAATATGCTGGCTTCTTGGAGAAAACATCTTACTATGTAACCCACTCTGGCAAAAGTACAAAATCTGCCTACTAGATAGCAGCGTACTTTGAGATCCCTGGGAGATATGAAATGAACGCAAAATTTAGTCATGGCTTACATCAGATCAGGGCGGTATCGGTGGATGATTGCACACAGGGCCAGGCCACTTTTCCAAGACATGGTAAGATCTGTCACATTTACTCCCGCATAACCATCCGTCTGCCTTTGGCACCAACTCAGCAGTTTGCTTGAACGAGCTACAGACTCTAAAACAACAAAAATAATTATGATTGGAAGTGTGTTTACCTTGTAAGGTTGATACAAGATCCTTTTGCAGTATACATCACCAGCTTGAAAATTGCTGAGGGTAGGGACAAAATAGCCATTACCAGCTTTCAAAATAGAAAGGTGATGAATAAGGTGGAGTGCCTGGTATCCTGACAGTCAAAGTTTGGGTAACAATTTGTCCATATTCTAAGGTCCACTCCCCAGACAGACTGGTGCCCCACAACTGAGCGACATGGACTTGCTCAGGCTGCAGTCTTGTGTCCCTGCAGCACTGCTGGAAGCTGTGGAGATGGAGGAGGGCTGCCTGTGGAGCTGTCTCCCTCACTCTAACAACTCTGAGTCTTTCCTGGAGAGCCGCTTGGCAAGCGCCTGAGGAAGCCTTTTTCATCACAGCAACACTAGGAAGCTTAGATTATAAAAGGTTCCGGTCTACCTAGCAGCCATTCTATATAGCAGCATCTTAAACTCAAAGCAAACAAAGCCTTGCTCTTCGGTTTCCTAGAGAGCCACGCAATTTTCAGATGAGGAAGCTGCAGGTTGTGCTGACCAGGCTATGCATCCCAAACCAGAACAATCCCCCTGCTGCAATCTGGCACTCTGTATTACAAATGATTATATCATAAGAAACCAAATAGGCAAAACATGCCCTTAGAGTCTTCTAGAACCAAACAGACTTGCATCAGAAGAGCTCTGATATGGATCTTATAAGAGAATCTGTAAATTCCAATTGGTATCCTTCCTTCAGGCAGTCGAAAATATTTAGCTTTGCACTATGTAATTCAGTGATTTGTGAACATAAGATAAAAACTGTGTATCATAAAATCCTGTTCATACCTTTCACTATTTAAATGTGTTCTGAGACTACACACAGAATCACTCCTGATGCCATTTCTTGGCTCAGACACTAAATTTATTCAGCTGTTTCCGAAGTCTGTATAGCCAGCCACCCAATATTTAATTTCAATTATTTCAGGTCCTAAACCAGTGACAATGAACAAAGATATATTCTCTGGTTTCAAGCAGGTGACACGCTAGTAGAAAAAGATGAAGTGGTTCCAACTGCTCGCTGGCTCTCACATCCACCTTGACATCCCAAAAGCCTATCAAATTTAAAATGTCCAAAATGGACCCCACACCTTCTCTCACAGCTTATCAGCCTCCTTCTTCCTCATTCAGACTGATATACACCCACCACAAATAACTATCTCTTGCCCCTGAGGCAATCAACTGCCAATGCCTATCGATTCTGAATTTTTTTTTTTTGTCTTTTTATCGGTACCAGGGATCGAACTCACGACTGCCTGCTTGAAGGCAGGCGCTTATGCCACTGAGCTAAATCCCCAGCCCCGATTTTGAATTTTTAATATTTCCTGTTATGTAATTAATAAAGTCAGTGACAAAACTGCTGGTGCCACTGCCAGGCCACTATATGGCGGGCATGGTAATCAGGACCACATACATGACACAGAATCCTCATGACCACAACCTCAGCGAGGTGTTGTCACGTTCATTTCAAAGACAAGGACACTGAAGGTCAGGGATGTTAATTAATAAGGAAGCTGAAATTCAGAAATGTTTGTATAAACTTTCCAAATATCACAGTGTGGGTCAGGACCTGCTCACATCTGGCCCTAAAGTCTGATTCCACTGCCTCCTCCCTTCTCTATAAGGATAGGGCCTTTGCCCATAGTCTGAATACTATGATGTATTTCTAACCAGTCTCTCCCACACTGGGACCTTTTCCATCTCCAGTCCAAGGTATACTCAACGTCACTCTCCTTTCCAAAAACATCTTCGGGGGCCCCTAAATACACAAAATACAGAGTGACTTTTATCTTTACCACTATGTAATGACAATGTCATAGGATCCCAATAAATGCCACAAATTCTGCAAGTCTTCCTCCCAAAACCTTAAGTGTGTCCATGGTTGCACTGTGTCCTCTGGCTCTTGTGCTCTTACTCCTTCTCTGTCTCCACAGCATTGCTATCCAACTTATCTCTGTATGCTCGTAACCAAGGTAAGTTTTTCTTGTGTAGTCCTGCCTTGTGCACTCTAGGAGGATTAGTAATACCCCTAGATTATCCACCAGAAGATAGTGGTAACCTCCCCAGTCATGACAATCAAAAATTTCCCCGACAACCAAACATCCCCCGGAAAGCAACCCCCCCCCAGCTTGAGAGCCACTGCCTTCTGACAAGTATGCAGTACTTGTCTGTACACAAGTACAAAGGTGCAGACTTCTCTCAGCACAGACCTGCCTCTCAGAAGGCTACTGCCAGACTCACCATTGCGGGTCAATTTCGGGGTAGTTCGGGAATTCACTAGGTTCTCCATTTCCAGATGAATATCTTTTGTTTCTCCAGTATCATATAAATGACGCACCTGGAAGAAAGTTGAAAAGCTGAAAGGAAAGAAAAAATCCAACACGAAGATACAAATTCCTACCTAAAAGTAGGCTAAGATGAAAGGCTGGGGAAGCAGGTTGGATAAAGTTTGTTTGCACTTTTTTGTGGTGCTGGATGGGGGGTGGTGTTGAACCCAGGAATTTAGCTTCCCCTCTACCACGGGGCTACCCACACAGCCCCACAGCAAGGCTTATACATAAGTCGTAATGGTGACTTTTTTTTTTTTCTTTTTTATCGGTATCGGGGATCGAACTCATGACTGCCTGCTTGCAAGGCAGGTGCTTATGCTGCTGAGCTAAATCCCCAGCCCTAATGGTGACCTTTAATAGGCACAGTTGGAACACACATGACTGTCTCACTGGGTGGTTTGCACCAACCAATGGGACTGCCGGAAACCGCCTGATGGGACAGCCATGCATGGCTCAAGCTGGGGAAATCATTCAAATCAGCTGATTAGCAGCAAGACACACAAATTACATTCCCTTCATGAACATGTTAAGTCCCTTATGAAATGAGGTAGGTTAAATGCAAATGAATACATGTTAACTACACGCAATTGTGCTAAAACTTAGGTACTCAGTTGTGGAGAGCCCTCTGGATAGTCTCTACTGGACAATTAAGGCTGCCCATTATCAACAGATTTTACCAGCATATACACAGAAGCCTAAAGGTATAAACTTCAGGTAGGAGGAAAATAAAACATGACTCTAGAACACAGCCAAATACATGAAATAGGCTGCTTTCTATAAACTGTTACCATGGCATGGTGGTGCACCTCTGTAATCCCAGGACTCAGGAGGCTGACACATGGGGACTTTAAGTTCAAGGTTGGCCTGGGCCTAAATGAGAGTTCAAGGCCATCCTGAACTGCATAGAAAAACCCTATCTCAAAAAAGAAAAAAAATTCCTGGACTGAGTTCTACTCTTTGGGATTGGTATTCATTCTAAGATTTCATTACCCATAGTGCAATGAGGCTGCAGAGATTCTGAGAAACAACTCAATGAAACAAAAAACAAAAATCAAAGAAATAAAAAAATCAACTTCTACTTGTAGAGAGTATCTCATCTTTCAAGTTTCTTTAAGTGAATAGTCTTATTTACCCTCACGATGGTCCTGAATAGACAAGGATTATTACTCCATTTGTCTAGTGAAAACATAGGAGTCAGAGACCATAAAATGACCTAACTTACAAGTGATTAGTGGCAATGACGCAGCACAAACCACATCTCCAACACTTTTTCCTTCTACTCTGTGCAATGTGAATTCGAAGGCACAAAAATGAAACCCTGGGTCCAGTGTTTTGGTCATGTGTGTGATCTACAAGTCTTAGTGACTCTGTGTGTTGGTGGAAAATAACACCTAGAGAGACTTGGACTTCTGAAAGTCTATATATGCAAAGGCAAACGAGATTACTAAACATGCCCATGAATAATACCAACATAGTCATATATCAGAGTTCTGACCAGTCCTATGGACCCGTATGTTCACAGCTGTCTCTTACCTGGCTCGGCCGCAGGAAGTTGATGTTAATATTAGGATACCGAGTGACAGGGTTGATGCTGTACTGGCTGAAATTTTTGCTCACATTCTCAGGGGTTGTCTGAGGCAGCAACCTGTAAATGCTTTCCCTGCAAAAATATCCACAGTGCACTCAAAGCAGTGATAAGCATCAGCAGCACTTCCCTCCTTTAAGTGATTTCTTTTTTGACAGCGTACCAAATTATCCGACAAATAGGACAAGTTTTCAGCCTTGACACATTTCCTCTAGTCCTACATCTGCTCAGCCGCCCCAGTGCACCCTCCCTCAGTGGTTCCATGGCCTTGGATCAGCTAAGAGGTAAAGAGAGGATCAGAGACAACATGATGGGCAGCGATACAGGCCTGGTTTCACCTAAAAAGGCCACCATTATTTAGCGACTGCATTTTCAGTTTTCCAAGAATACCGATAGTTCATTTCCAAAGGGGGAAGAAAAATCATAAATGAGAAAAGAACTCACTACCGCATTTAGCAAAAACACTGAAAGTAAGGGATTTTAAATTATATCAACCAGCAATTTTATCTGGGAAATTTTCTCTGCAGTTCTCCTGGTCGTGGTGTTAAATTCTTCTTTATCAATAAGAAAATCTGAGGGTTTTTATTTCAAAATATCTGACATTTAGGGATTTAATCAATGTTCAGAAGCTGTTTGCTTTCCTCTGAGCCAGTCACTTTTAACTTCCTACGCTAGCATGTCCCCACTACGACACTGACTGTATCAGTACAGGCCTTCCTGGCTGAAGAACAAGAGGATTTGATTTGCCATTTTCATGTATCCGATACAATTATAAAGGAATCAAAGGAGTGGAATACCATTGCTCAATGGAATACAAAGCTGTTTGGCACTAGTAAATTCCTTTTTTTTTTTTTTTTCTTTTTGGAGAGAGGATCTTGCTATGTAGCCCAGGATAGCCTCAAAATTTTAGTTATCCTCCTGCCTCAGCCTCCCCTCCCCAAGTGCTGGGATTACAGGAGTGCACCAGCATAAATTCCACTTAAGAGGCTAGCTATGGCTTTCCTCAAGAAGCCCACCCTGTGTTCTCCAGGGTCTACTTTTTTTTTGGTAGTGAGAATTGAGCTCATGACCATGTGCTTGCCAGGCAGGCACTTATGCCGCTGAGCTAAATCCCCAGCCCCTCCAGAGTACACTTTTATTTTAGTTTTTTCTCTTTTACTTGGCCCAAGCTCATTGCAATTTTTCCTTCATGCTTCACTTCTACTTCTTCAAATAAATTGTGTCACTGTGAATGAAAGAAAGAGAAAAGGAAGGAAAGAAGGGGTCAGAGGAGAACAGATGATTATCTAGGTTTTTATCATTTCACGAAATACACTTTTGCTTTTCCTTTTTTTAAGGTATCTTTATGAAGAAAAGGCTGCCCAGGGAGCAGGCCACGCTCCCTTCTGCTCTTCTCATGCGAGCCTGTGCTTTCTCGCATTACCTCTCTGCCAGAACTTCCAGGGGGCTGGCTCCGAGAGACCAACTTCGTACCATCCAGGCAGAGTCCATAGCAGCTAGGAAGCCCCGGGCTATTCCTGTTCCCATGGGCCAGAAAGGCTGTGAATAAAATATAAAACAGAGTTAAAAAGTGAAAGAGGGAGGCGAGGCTCAGAGATGCAGCTCAGCAGCACAGCGTCTGTCTGGCAAGCACGAGGCCCCGAGTTTGAATCCCAGTACCAGAAACAGAAAATAAAATAAAGAGTGAGGTGAAAGAACAAAGATAGCATTTGCTATGACAGTAGGATCTGGCCACTGTTTGGACACTGGACTTCTCTACTTCACAAACAGGGAGAGGGCAAGTCACCAACGTTGCAGGATTTCCACTCTTAACAAGCCTGGGTTCCCAGGGCCTGCTGTCCTTTCTCTCCCTGCGGGCACAACCGTGGCAGGAAGCCTGCGAAGGCTGTGGATACTCACTTCACAACCTGGGCTACCCAAATATGTTCCTCACTACTGCACTGCCCATAAAGTGCTACTACTCTTGCACTCACCTCTAGGAGGCTGTCCCCAACCAGGGCCACTAGCAACTGGTGCCCATTCTGCTCCCGTACCAAGGCAGCATTCTCAGAGGCGTACATGCACGTGAAATCAAACATGGCCACATCGGGCTGCCCGTAGTGGTTGATGGCAAAGTCTAGAGAGGGCAGCTGCTGCTGCGTGGAGAAGTCTGCTGCCTCCCGGGCGTAGTTCAGCAGGGCCTCCTGGTCCACATTCTCCCGGGACAGCAAGAGCTCGGTGTCAGCATAGTCCTGGCCAGAGAGAAAAGATGCACAGGATGGAACAGCCCAGGCAGGGACAGACTGGTGAGGCCAGCCAGGACCATGTAACGTGTGGCAAAGGTCATCTAGTTTTACGACTTTCTCAGTTCAAAAACTGAATCTTTTACACAGATTAAAAAGAAAAACTGCGGGGCTATTTTGACCTAGAGTTGGCTGCCTAAAATCAGTCCTAGCCTTGCATTTATTTGGAGTATGTCACTGCTCCTAGAATTGTGACCAAATTATTTCACAGAGTTGTTCCCAGTATCAAATAAACTCATGCATATGCAACTGAAAGGGCATTTTATGGTTTATTTGTATTAATTCCACAATTGTTATCTTTTGGATAGTGAGTAGCATTTGGCTGCTGGGACCACATAAAATAATCTTGGATGGCTCATCACATCCTCCAAGGAAGAATGTGAAAACGAGTTCCAAAAGGATACAGAAATGGGAACAATAAGAGTCAAGAAAATGTGGAGGAATACACTGACAATGGAACAGAGGTTTTCAAAATCATACAGAAGGGTCTGCAAGGGTATACAAAACTCATCAATAAAGAAAATGAAGGTGAGAGAAGAAGGGCCTTCACGGAGCACACTGGTGCATGCCTATAATCCCAGCAGGAGGCTGAGGCAGGAGGAATGCCACGAGTTCAAGCCCAGCCTGAACTACACAGGGAACCCTTGTCTCACCAAAAAAAGAGCTTTCCACACAGAGGGCTGCAAAACTCCTTTTCTGACTTGGAGGTTCCTGCGTGCTGAGCTAAGCCTTTGTTCTCCTAAGTGGGGCCTGCAGTTCCAAGTGCTGCTCATGGTACTTTCAGCTACAACTACAAGATGTCAAAAGCCAAAACACAAATACTCATGTCGGTCCTGGAAAGACTGTTTGTTCAACATTAAGTGGCCACAATGGTTTTAGAACTTAGCTGTACACACAGAAGGAACTACCCCTGCTCTCTAGAAAAATAAACTAAGAGTAAAAAGCAAAGAGTAAATTTTGGCATGCTAAATCGCTCTTATCTAACTTGAGTCAAGAAACCACAGCTCTGCCAAGATGGTAGATTTAAAGTCTTCACTTGGTCTTAAGGCATTCCAAGTGCTCCACTAGATCTTACTGACAGCCACGGATCAGTAGCAGATAATGAACAAGCCCACTTGATGAAGCAGCGAGCCAAGGACATCTAGCTTTTGTTTTCACAGAATGGGCTAAATAAACTGCTTTGTCCTGTTGGTACCGTCATACATACAGGACCATTATGCTAAGGGGGGCACGGGGTTCAGGGCTGGGAGGGAGACTTGTGAGCACGTGGTTCTCAGCTTGCTCCCCACTCTGTTCTCAGATAAGGCAACAGTGTGAATCGGACTAAAGGGACTCAGACTGAAAGATGATTCATTATTATTTTGCAGACAAAGGGCTCCCTGAGATTCAGCGCATCTGATGGTTCTCTTTATCTCATCACAAGGGGAGAGCAATTCTCATACTCAGACCAACGAGACTGAGCCCGTCTCCTGAAGGAGCCACCCCCATGCCCACCCCTACCCCGGGATTCTCTGACTTCAGATCATCATCTCAGGGAACATAGTACAGCTCATCATCCAGAAATGGCTGGTAAAAGATGAACACTAGGCCCTTGTGGGTGAGTCAGAGAGATCTCTGAACCTCTGGCAAGGAAATCCACAGTAACACTAGAGCTGCTGTCAGGTTGTCGTAAATAGCAACTGTTGCCTCTCACTCAAATTCTTTTCCCCCATCACCCGCCTCTCTCCAGTGAAAAGGATCCACTCATCAGTCAGTAATTGGTCATACAGGAAATTCACTATAGCCACAAACCAAGTCACCTAAAATTAGACTGAATATGTATGCATGCAGTATCTGAGTCTTGCTTTGAAACAATCTAATGGCAGGAGAGGGGCGTGGGTTGGGGTTTTATTGAAACAGTAACAGTTTATTGATAACTGTTTAAGTTAGAGGATGGGCACATAAGTTCATTAGAATCCACTTTTTCTATTTGAAATCAGAATAATAAATACTATACAATGACAATTTTTTCATATGAAAATAAGTATTTTCCAAAATTATACTAAATAAAATCTAAAGTTTCCAGGTGCACTCAATGCTCATTTTCTTTCCCTTGCAGGAAAAACCCATTAGATAATAAAACTCTTTCTCTTGGTGATCACATTAACCAGTTCAACAATAAGTGGCTTGAAAGAAATCCATTGCTCACATGCAGTATCACCCCTTTGTCCAGTAAACTCTGCTTTTTGGCTGTCATAACGAAATAGTGTGTGTCATCTTTGTAGTAAACGATGTTCTCCAAGTCAATACCTGTGAACAGAAAACAAACGTGTATGTAAAGAGTCTGCTGACATTCAGGCTTCAGGGCAGCCAGAAGACTGTCCTGGGGTCTGCAGAGATAGGGCTGGGAAGATGTCTAGGCTCAGATTCTAATCTCTTGCATATTTAGTTCCTGAAAACAAGGAGAGCTTTGTTTCTTTTTGTTCTGCTCTGTAATTCACTCAATACCCTGTTACCCAGAAATGGATCATCAAAAGTAAACAAAAACATAATGATGAGAAAAACAAAACAAAAGCAAGGCTAACCTCTGCAAGACAGTGTGGGTTAGTTAACAGGTTAAAGCTGTTCAATAGTCATCAAGAAAGCTACAGAACTTGCCCATATTCTTAATGGGATAGGTTAATAGAAGTCAAGTTCTAGAAAACATTTTTTGATGCAGCTAAATTAACTAAACTGTTTAAAAGCGACCACAGAGCAATCTCCCCCCAACCTTTTTTCTAGGGTCAGAGATCAAACACGGGGCCTAGCAAATGTTAGCCAAGCGCTTTGCCACTGAGCAACATTCCCAGTCCCATACAATCTCATTTCCATTTGGCACACGGTTTACTTTTGAGCTCGAACTGGAATTCAGTAAGGCTACATACTTAATGCCAAAGTTAGGTTCTTAATGGAATGACAGTGCTACCAAAGGCAGCTTGCTGCATCCAATACCGTAATTCAGCATCGTAGTGTAGGGATAAGGAGCTAGAAATGCGTTTGTAGAAGACAGAATGAACATTTAAAAAACAAGCAAATAACAAAACAGCATCTGAAGCACCTAGTCAGTGTACTGAGCGTTGAGAATTCTAGAGCAAGAGATGAACAGTGGGGGAACATTATACTAAGAGCAAAACTTTAAGTAAAAAAAGAACAAGGCAGACAACGCCACAGCTTCAACCCTGCCAAACTCTCAGGAGCTAAGTAGCAAGTGGCTACTGCAGTGTCTGTCCTCAGTGTTGAGGAGGCGTGGACACCGACCTGTAGCTTCTCGTAATTCCTGGAAAAACTTTTGGTTGAATATAAAGGCCACGCCACTGATCTCCTCCACTTTGGCTTCGGCAGTTGTATTTCGATTAATAAAATTTGCTGTAATGGCAATGGCTAGTTTGCCACGAAATTCTTTTCGACGAAAACCTGGAGGGAGAGAGCGATCAGAAGTGGAAATAAAGAGCTGGAGAAGGAGGAGGAGGACTGCTTCCCATAAGGAAAGACACTAGGGAAAGTGGGGGGTGTGGGTCCATGGAAAAATCTGAGGGTAGTTCTTCTCCATCTGAAAATAAGCTGCTTCCCCACCAAAACAAGTAATTCAGCAATGAAATAAAAATCTCCCACATCATTAACAAACCATTCGAAATCTGACTGACCAGAATATTACTCAGTACTGGAGAGTCCATTTAAAAGGAAGGGAAGGAGTTGAATTAGCTTATTAATATATGTTAGATCCTGCAGTACCAAGCCTTCAAAGTACAGCTCATCTTCCAGGGCACTAACAAGATTTGACATTGTCTGCAGGAAGGCTGGATGCCTTTCAGTTAAAACAGGTAGCATAGGAGCAGATTTGTAGGGGGATGGACTCTAGAGACAGAGTCAGTGTCCACTCTGCTAACATACCTTCCAAGGTGTTCCTACGGCCATCTCCACCGATGATCACTTCAAATTCGAACTCAGACACAGGATGAGTTTTGGGATGCACCAGTGCTCGCCAACCTATCCCTGCAAGCCAATGGCAAAATGAAGGTCATCACCAGATCAGATTCACACCTCCCAGCACCATCGTCAACACTCAGGAGTACACGCTGCACCAAATCCCGAGCCAAAGACACTAAGCCAGACGGTAAGGAGGCTGGTAGAAGGAGCACACTTTTCCCACGAATTCTCTCTAATGCCAATGTCTGCAAAGTCTACTATGTCGGAAGAACTGACTCCTCGTTAAGCCAAAAGTCCTCAAGAGCACAGGGTATATGAACAAAAAGCACCTTTAACTCATTCTCATTTTTGCCCTTGTGCTCACCCTCAGTCACCCAGCTAGTGCCCTTTATGTCTTCTCCATTTGTCTAATCCAACTTACGTTCATTTTCTTGGTCCTCAGGGGGCTGTACAAGTCCTTGGAATTCCACATTGACATGGATTTCGATGCCCAAGATCAAGGCTACTTTCAAAAGTATTAGCTGGAGCTGACGGATACCTGGGTGAATACGAAGACAGGTTGGCAAGGGGACGTGAAACAGAAAATACCCACCAGTGGTCACTCCTTAGGCTCCCACCTATCTACCTGTCCACAGTCCACTCCGGGTCTCAGAGCCATCTGTATAGACTGGGCTGCAGCTCAGTAGTAGAGCTCTTGCCTACTATGCCCCCAGGCCTTGGGCTTATCTCCAGCCCTGGATGAAAAAGGGAGACCCAGAAATAAACCTATACATTGAAGTCCTTTGTAGCAGGAGACATTTTCCAAGGCATGATCTCACAAGTTTTTTATTTTAGAGGGAATAAAACAAAATGAGACAAAATAAAACATTGAGAACAATATTGGTAAAAACAAGATAATAGGAAAGGACAATAATTACTATATTGTATACTGTTATCTACTAGACATTGAAACTACTGGTTTTAGGTCTGCAAAATCAATCAAACAATACAAGCATTAAGTTCTTTCTTTACTTAAATTGCTATCATCTCAGCCTGCTTTCTTCCGAATCAGCGGGTTGCTGGAGAGCTAGGGGGAGGGGGTCTGGGGGGCCGAACCCCACCACAGCTAATGCTCGGGAGGATGCTGCAGCTTTGTCCTCACTGCTTCTCTTTAAGGGTAAATGCAAACCAGCGGAAGAAATGTTCTAGACTCCCGTAAGTACACCCTCATGTCAAGTACTCTAAACCCAAAATTCAGTGACACAGGGGACGGTGGCCAATAGGAGATTCCTTCCCATCCTCCCCGATCCAGTAAGAGCTATCACTTCTGTCAGTGGCTACAGTGCTGACGGGACACAGTCACTGCTGCAGGGCAAGGCGGAGGCAGGGATGAGGGCACCAGTTCCACAGCTCCACATCTCCACGAAATGCTCTGCACTGCTTCCCTCCGTCACCCCGTGAATGCCAAGGATCTCCTAAATGCATACGCTCTCACCAAGTGAGTAAGGGAAATCATAACCCTACCATCCCCTCCTGACACTGGTCTACACTTGTGGAAACTGAAGCCCAAAGTGATTAAGAATCTCAACTTACTATCATAGTGAGGTTTACATATTTATTTAATCTCTGGTGAGTTCTGACCTGATGCCAGACATGGGAGCAACACCAGATACACAGAGACAGAAATCTAGTCCTCGGTCTAAGACCCTCTCAGTCTCAAAATAAATTCTGTCACACACAAGGGAGATAAATAGCATGGATTAATGATCCTCAATCTTCTCTTAAAGCCAAATATATCTACTACTATCTACCATAACTAATCTGCCAGGAGCACATATACATCCTGCCCTGCCAGCCTAGTAATTTTTCTCAGCTTACCACAACCACCCCCTTCCTTCTGAGTCACACTCGCCAAGACTCATTAAGTTGAGTGCTAGCACACATTTAATTTCTGCAACAACTGTGGATTCCAAGATGCTTTACAAATTACAGCCTGGCAGATGGGCAGAGCACTTCCTTTGCCAGTAGAATGTGGCAGCTGTCAGCCAGTGCTTAATAAATGGGCCCAACCACTTCACAAAGCAAAAGGTCCAGTGGTTGAATGTGTGTACAGGACATATCTGGAGGAGCTCAGAAAAACTTGAAAAAACTTCCCTGGAATCATTAGTGATAATCAATTCAAGAAGAAGAAGAAGAAGAAGAAGAAGGAGAAGAAGAAGAAGATGAAAAGACTTCATTCTACAGACATTGATCTGAATTGATTTTCAGATAGGCCACTTACAGCCAGGAAAATGAAATCTCTGCCTGCATTAACTTGCATTCACCCATCTCCAAAAGAGCGTGGAAATGGCATGAAAACAACCAGAGCTACTCTGGCTGCAGACTTCATGAGAATCACCTAAGCAGATAAATCCTGCAGTTGGGTTGACTTGCCATTCACGACCAAGCGAGGGCTCTGCTTTTTTTGTAAGCGTGATTCCTTCAGGAGCTGCACCCCCACTGTGCTTTGCTCCCACACCAACACAGTGTACAAGGGGTCACACTGCAGAGAGCCACAGCACAGCCTGTGTACTTCTTCCGCTGAACATTTCCCAAAGCCTGGTCCCGTCTGCCTTCACGCTGAGTACTGAGTCTCGGATGCCGACATCCCTAAGTCAGACTGCTAGCACGGGCACATGCTTGCCGTTCAGAGTCCAAGGCACTGGTGGTGGGTATTCTGGTTCCACACACAGTAAGTGCTACTGAGTAGATACCAATGAGATAAGAACCAACTGGGCTGCTGAGCAGGAATTCCTCGCCCACCTGACCTGTCTCTTGTCTACTGAGCCAGCGTGCAAGAGCAAAATACTATAGGAGAGCTGATGTTACTCACTGATATGGTCGATAGCTCCGGCACAGAACTTGCCATAGAACTTTTTGGCACCCAGACCTCGAAGATCATGTATGGTGAAGGGCCAGAGATGCAGGACATTGTTGCGGGAAAAGGCATCTCGCTTCTCAATGACGACGACCTTGGCTCCCAATAAAGACAAATCAATGGCTGTTCGGAGACCGCAGGGCCCAGCTCCAATGATGAGACACTGAAAAACACAGCTGCTTTCAGGGCAAATACCATACAGAGAAGTATCACAATCTCATAACCACCAATCCCCAAAACCCCCAACCAGGGTGATTCTCCCCACTCCAGGAAAACTTCAAACTTGACTTGGACAGCCTATGTGACCCAGAGATTTGCATCACAATTAAATGGGTCATCATCCCAACAAATGACCTGAAAACTACGTCTAATCTTTTTTCAACAGGCAAACTTTGAGTCCTAAAATAAGTCTAACGCATAAGTGACTCCCAGAGGGCAACTCTCAGGACCCAAATCTTCATGTACCATTCAGAATTCTAAACTCATCATTTCTCGACCAAAAGTCCAAGGAAGTGCTCTTGAAAACCCGTGCTCCAGTACTCAGCCTAAGGCTGGGTACTGATCTGAAGCAGTTTGCTATATATGCACAAAAAGAAGACAAGCTCTGCATTCCTTCTATTCTTAATGAAGCTCAGTACTCTTAAAAGTCATGCCTTAAAATTTCTTGAGTATTGTTCATAAAGGGCTATCCAAGTATAAATCCACTAGAGTGGGTCTCGAGCATCCACAAAGGGCAAGCTAATGCTCACGAAAATTACATAGCCCTAAAGTCTTTGCAAATTTGTTTCCTTGCTGGCTTTTTTCAACTTCTCAAAGATGTCCTCACAAAAAGGACCCAGGAGGGGCACATGCCTGCAATCCCAGCACTCAGGAGGCTGAGGCAGAAGGAAATTGTTGTGAGTGCAAGACCAACCTGGGATACACAGTGAGTTCAGGATCAGCCTGAACTACAGCAAAACCTTGTCTCAAACAACAACAACAAAAGGACCCAGAAAATGTATCTTCCTTTCCACATTTTCACATCCACCCCGACACAGGTAAATGTACACTCAGGTCTGTGGCAAACTGTCTGTCTCACAGAAACCCTGTTTCGCTACATTGTGAAGAAAGCAACAGAAATACTTCAGTTCACAAGGTTCCGCTTATGAACCAAAACCAGACTTTCGAGACGTGGGTAAGAAACAGTCTGAAGCTTGCGGTAAATCCTTACCAGGGACTGAGTATGCTAAGAAACATGAAGCCACGTGCAGACAGGACACCATGGGGCCGGAGTATGTCCTTGCTGAGTGACCTGTATCCTCCTAACAGTGCAAGGTTCAAAACAGAGCTCTGCCAAAATAAGACCCTGCTCTCAAAGGTCTTAAATAGCTGAAACTCTGTTCAACATATAAATGCACAGAGTATGCTCAAATAGATCCTAAACAGTCAAAAAAGTGTAAAACATCTACAAAATTTCAGCGAGAATTAAACTTAACTTACGAGGGTAACACTAGACTCTTGCCTGCTTCTCACCCAGTCTACATCCACTCCTTTTTTCTTCTTCTTCTTTCTTTTTAGTTTTCTTGAGATTGGGTCTCACTACGTAGCCCACGCTGGCCTTAAACTCCCGACTGTCCTCCTGCCTCAGCCTCCCAAGTGCTGGGCCCATAGGGGTGCGCCATCACGCCCAGCTCACTCAATCCTCCTGGCTGCTGCCTGGTCAAATCTTCACGCCAGTGAACCCAGGACCCAAGAGCAGCCAAGCCCCTACCTTGGTGTTAGTGCACGCCTTTCCCTTCTTGTAGTCTTTGTGGCTGCCCCGTTTGTCCAACTTGGCCCAGAGGGCTTTTGCCTTCCAGTAGTTGAGTTTGGACTTGAGCTTGTGATAGAAGGAGCGGTAGTCCTTGGGCTTCAGCTCCAGGTGGTCACAGAGCTCTTGAAAGGCCTTGAGCGTGCCCTTGCAGGTGGTGGCCTGGACGAACCGGTCAAAGAGAACATGAGCCTGGTTCACAGCCTCATGCTTCCTCTCCTCCATGCCTCCACGCTCTCGGCTCCCCAACAAAAGGGGTGGTGGGCTGGCTCCTGATCCACTGTCACCTTAACCTAAAGAGAAAGAAAGTTTCAGTATTCCTGCTTCTATAAACATTTGCCAGGAGGCCTTTCCAAAGCAGTGACAAGGCGGTAACACTCATCCATTTAACAGCAGTATACTGCAAGATGCCACCAGGCCCTATCCAGGACACCAGGGGTGGACATATGAACAAGTCCTCGCTTGCTGACCCCCTGAGAGTCCAGTGGGTGAGACTAACACATAAACAAAACTTCACAATGTGTTACAGCAAGTGTCACAAGACAGGTAGAGAAGAGAAACTAAGTCACAGGGGGGCGGATCCTCACTGGAGATGTACCTCTGAGAGGAGACTGCAGAGTCCTTCAGGGTACAACACACGTCAGCTGGGTGGAGAAGTGCAGGACATGGGAAGGAAAACAGCTGGCAGGCTTGTGAGGGTCACTGACACATCAGAGTCAAGAATGGTTTCCAGCATTCTGGGAAATGGTGGCAGCCAGGCAGTGCCCTCAGGTGTGAGGATTGGGCAGTGGAGTGCCCTTCTCAGCCTGCTCACCTGAGATCCCCAGGTGGCAGTGCTCACAGTATACACACGAGGGCCAGGGCAGTGGCTGGGGACACGTGCTGGGTGGGAGCGCTGTTAGCATCATGAGTGGGGTAAAAATGCTGAGAGCAGGTGAGAGCCGGTGAAGAGAGCAGCCCTGGGCAGAGAGGATGAGACAGAGAAGCACCAACCTGAACAAGGCTAGCAGAAACAAAGCCAGAAACAAGAGACAGCGGCCTGAAGAAACACAACGTGCGGGTGACAGGAGAAGCAGGAAGCGCAGGTGAACAGTCAGCAGGAATTTAAAGGACTCAAAAAGCCCTCCCGCTGGCTGGGGACGGTGCACACCTAGCGTTCAGGGAGGCTGAGGCAGGAAGATGGCCAAGGGAAGAGGGGGTATTGAGGCAGTCCTCTACAGCGGGAGATGCCAGAGCCATCCCATTTTGCCCACAACCATATTCGGGAGTAACAGTGCTGATGCCCACAACCTCCCCTTATCAGAGATACCAACACGTCTGTCTGAGTGCCTGCTGGCCAGGGGCTCACAGGCTAGAGATGGCACTCCCTGGGCCACTCATAACCTCTGCAACACATTCTACTTACCATCACTATTAGAACTGTGTTAAGCAGACAAAGGGGCAAAGATCAAAACTAAGCCACAGGAAGAACACAGCATACCTCTGGTGTGGCAAACACGAAACACCACTGGGTTGGAACTTTTCTTCAAAGGGTAAAACTTATTCTTGGGCCTCAGGGAAGGTGGAGGGAATTACTGACACCCTGTGCTGCGGAAGGGAGGGTGAGTGCAAAAGCTGAATGAACCTAAGGTTAAGAGAGACCCCCAAGTTGCAGGTGGTGATGAAACCAGTCTTCAGGACAGGCGGCAAGCTCCACATGACATGGACAAGACCCAGGATTCTGCCCTAAAGCTCTTACTTTGGCAGATTCCTGTGCAACGGAACCCTTGTTGTGAAATAGAAATAACACTCCGCTTTTCTCTGTACTACATCATGGTATTAAGCGATTACACTGAATCATCTGAAGACATGTCTTATACTTCATGATAAAAGTAGTAACTACAAGAACCACCACCCCTTCATGTGTTTTCTCCATCAGACACAAGGCTCTTCGGGGATGGGGGGATAGGAGGATGGTCAGATGGTTAATTCTTTTACCAGTACGAAACATACTGACTTGGCTTCTTCAAAAATATTCCTTACCACCAATCCCCCTTGGCTCTAGGTACTAGAAACGACAGTACGCTGTATATCTAATAAACATGCTTGTCCCCAAATCTACATGGCCAGGAGTCCAGTAGGAAATGGAATGAGAGGGCTGGGAATGTGCTTGGATGGTAGAGCACTTAGCCAGCATGTTTTGAGACCCCAGATGCCATCCCAGGAGAAAGAAAGACAGGGAGAATAGGGTGGGGCAAAAGAAGGAGTGGGGGGAGAAGATGGCTCTTCTAGGGATGGAAAAAACTAGATGTGCTTGTGCAAAGACAGAAAAAAGGGTGGCAGGTAAGAGCTAATGACTGTAAACAAAGATCCCAGTCAGTGTTTGCTGCCTCGAAGCCTTCAGCCTCTTGCTTCCCGAGTGCAGATCTCAGCGGAGCAGACAGCACTGCGTGATCCTTACCCCGCACTCCCACCGGTGTCACAGTGAACACTAGCAAGCTCTGAAAACACCTGGCCTGGTCTCCCTCGCTTCAAGGAGGAAAATGATCTTCCTTTGTTCTAAACAGCAGCCCCTCCTACTTCCTGCCAGAGTACTGGGAACAATGACATTCCTGCCGAATCTACCATGTTAAAAGTCCCACCACATGGCTCTAAAAGCCTCTCCCCAACCCTAACACCTGTCCTGTGATCCCAGGATCTTCTGGACAATTACTTCCAAAGTAGAGTCCTGCCATGGGCGCTAACATCCCTGTGGCTGGTTGAAGCTCACTCTGAAAACAAATATTTACTTCCTGAGAACTGCTAACCATCTCAGAGAATTTCCAAATCAACGCCTAGCCTACCACGGACACACACCTTCATTAGTAACTGTTTCCATCTCTCTGTGGATGTAAAGCACTTTCAAATGAACACCTTTCAGCTCCAGCTCTTGGAGAGCAGCAGACAAGCATTAAGTGCCCAGGCTAAGGATCATAACCTGCAGGGCCCTAATGACAACAGATAAACACTGGCAGGTTGGTTCCCAGCACAATGCGACAGGCACCTAAGGTAAGACTACCCGAGGCTAAGTCCCTTGGGCTGCTTCACTTTACTTCCTCTGCAGGCCAGATGATGCAGTGGGAAGACAAGCTGAGAGTGCTCAGAGCTGCTCTGTGCTCCGCTACAAGAGGACTTACCCAGCACTCTGGCTCACTCCGAGAACAGCTGGGAAGAATGGCAGAAGGGCCCTTTCTCACCGCCCCCATCTCCCAAGGACAAAGCTGTGTCATCTCCTCCTGCTCCACCCTATCATTCATCACACTATCCTGGGGAAAACTGACATTCATAACCATGGGAACACAGAGACCAGGAAACCTAGTCATAAGGAGCCAAGAGGCCCCAGCATGGAAACTCCAAGGTATGGGACAAAGGGTTTGGGAAGTGAGCAAACTGAGGAAAGAGGAAGAAATGGTGAGGCCAGGTTTCCAGAGCATCTGCGGTCTCTGCTGCTGACAGTACCGTGCATGCTTTGTCTCTGGGAGCTGTCTGCTGACTCAGATTCTCTGCACAGTCCTTGGCTGTGGAGGAAAGTGCTGGGAGACAGACGGCCCAGGAAGCACATGTAGGACAGGGTTCATGCTTCTATTTACAGCAAGAGCAAAGGTTGTCCCTGACTCATGGCTGTTATGTGAACACTCAATCCCTAGCTCTTAGGATTAAGTGAGCAGTTGTTTGGAGGGTTAGGAAGGAGAATTATCCTGAAAATAGAGAATGAAAGCAATGTAATAATCATACTGCAAGAGTACTGGACTGGGATGATTTTACCTGATTTTTCTCCTCTGCTCCTGTACCCTTAGTAAACAGCAGGTATGCAAACTCTTAGATGCTCCTTCTAGGTGCTCCTAGAAGGTGTGCGGGAATGTTTGTTTTGCAATGCTGTTAGGAAACTTGGATAAACAATGTGGTTCCCATTACTCAAGATTCCCACAGGTTTTGCCTCAGAGACAGGGCTCCAAATCACAAAGGGCCTTGTGGGTAAGGACACTGAGGCCATGTCTTGGGGGTCAGCAAGTGGACTGAATGGTGTGCTCATCACCTCTAACGCAGCTTCTCAGCTCTTACAACCACAGGATGAGGTTCTCGGGTCCCGAGGAAGTGGGCTCAAAATACTACCTTAACCATTTATTTGTTTGACAAAGAGTCTTACTTAATCACCTAGACTGGCCTTGAGTTCCTGGACGCCAGTCATCCTCCTGTCTCAGCCTCCTGAGTATCCGGGATTTGTCCTTACCAATTTAAGAATACAGTAGTGCTCCTAAGCAATCATAACTGCGTGCAACCATCACCACCATCTCTCTCTGCAGCTCCACATTCACACCTACCCACAAGAGCGCCCCTTCTCTCTCTCTAGCCCTTGGCAACCAATGTTCTGTCACTACAAGTTTTACTACTCTAAGTATATGATATAAATGGAATCAAAGTTATTTGCCTATGACTGGCTCATTCAACTTACATAATAACCTCAAGTTTACCCATATTATTGTACCATACTGCAGTATTTTCTTTCTACTATTTTTAAAGACAAGGTCTTGCTATGTAGTTCAGACCCTGAACTTTGAACTCATTATGTAGCCCAGGTTGGCGTCAAACTCATGGCGATCCTCCTGCCTCAGCCTTCCAAGTGCTGGGTCTTTCTCCTTACAGTTAAGTAATGTTCAATTTTAAGCATATACCATGTTTTCCTTTATCTATCCACCTGCTGATGGCAGCTCAGTTTGCTTCTACACTTCGCTGTAGTAAATGCTGCTGTGCACATAAGTATGCAGAGCTCTTGAGATTCTATTTTCAATTTTTTTATGTACCTTATTCTCCAAATTGGGGTCACCGGATCATATAATAGCTCCAGTGTTACATTTCTGAGGAACCCCTAGACTGTCTTTCAGTGAGTATACTACTTTACGTTTCTGCCAACCATACTAAGGGTTCCCATTTTTCCACCCTCTTACCAGAATTTATTATTTTCTGTATTTTTTCTTAATATTAGTCTTTGATAGTGGTCATCCTACCGGATGAGAGTTCACCGTTTAGCTCTGCATTGCTCTAGTGATTAGTGATGCTCAGCACCTTTTCATGTACTTTTTGGGCCATCTGCATCTTCTTTAGAGAAATGTCATTTAAGTCTCTCATCTTTAGTTCCAACTTTTGCTCTTGTTAAGTTTTAGGAGTTTTATTTATTATTAATTTTTTGAACCAGGGTCTTGCTAATGTAGTTCACACAAACTGAACTTACTATGTAGCCCAGGTTGGTCTCATATTTGCCATGATCCTCCTGCCT